TGCCATATAAATCAAATTCAGTGGGGTTATCATTAAATAGCTTGCATATTAATCTAGTTTTGCAAACAATTGTACATTGAAGAATGTTGATAATTTGCTTTTTTTGGCAGGCCAGGCTATAGTAGCACATGGCTTTTTTTTACATTACCTTTTATTATAAAATATATATATTGCTGAGAGCGCTCAAATTAAGATTGGAGGCTGATATATATAAAAAAAACTATTATGCAGCTGTGTGCTAAGGTCCGCCCTGTCATTAACAGTACTTGTTTGGTATTGACTTGGTTTTACCCTGTCTAGGCCTTTATTCTGATTTAGTCTCGATCTCTTCCATCTCTATACACTGTGAACTCACTCTCTGGTATGGTACCTTTGAAAGAACAAAGCCAGCTGTATGTGCTCTTTATAGGACAAAGACATGCTCTAAAAAACACCAAAAAAAGAGGAGGAAGGCTAAATCATGACAAGTGCATTAAGATGGAAAAAAGGGAAAAAGCAACTCTTTCCAGCATTAGCTGAGCCAATCAAAGATGTGGAGAACATTTTAATTGAGATGTTGAAGTGGTTCATATTGGGGCGCATTTAATGTCATTAGTAAGATGGTTCCATTAGTGTCGTAATTACATGCAGCTTGATTGTGGTTTTTGGTAGCAGTTACGCATGCCCTGAAAGGTCTACACTTTATGCTCTTAAAGTAATTTAGAAATGTATTTTGGACCTTAATCTAGGGAAGTTATCTATGAACTAACAGCAGCTCTTTGGAAGCTTTGCCATGAGTTTGATGGAAAGCAGAGTGATATTACAAGGATGTGCAGTTGTTACGGCTGTGTGTTTGTGTGTGTGTGTTTCTCCCCTAGATGACCGGGTGGGTGACAATCAGACTCACCTGGTGCTGAGAATTTAAAGGCCTAGAGCTGCCTGCAGTCAGGAGAGGCAGTCTGTGGGGAACTGCTGCCCTGCTGCCTCTCATTTGTGTTGTGGGTTCTTTGTGTTTAGTTAATTTTTTTGTCTTCTTTTACAATAAATCATGAATAAATCATTTGTTACTTTAATGGGTCAAAAGGTGTGGATAATTGTTAGCCCCATAGGGCCGCCTTTGGGTAACAGCACCATATATAGTTAATTTTATTACAGCATACCTAATCTTTACCTAAAACAGAACACACTTACAGGCCTGAACACCGACCGTGACTTTATTTCATAGTTTTGGCCATCATTTTTAATTACCTTCCCCTAGCTGATAATGTGTTTGTATCTGTTTGTTTGTCAGCAGAAAAAAAAACAACTTCTGGCCTGATTTTCACGAGACTAGGTGGAGGTGTGTAGCAAAGCCAAGAGAGGACTCATTATACTTTGGACCGGCGTCAGACCTGACTCATAAATAATTATAGTGGATTCAACCTTTTTTCAAAATGCTAATTAATATTTGATTCAGCGAAAAATTGTGAAAATAACATCTGCTCCCAGTATCAAGATGCCTGTTAGTTATTTCAGTCAGTGTCGCTTCATTTTTATTCATAAGCACATGATGCAAGAGTCTTTTGCTTAAAAATGTATGTATAAAATCATCTATAACAATTCATGCATAGTAATATTTGTCATATCAATACATTTTAGAGAGTCTGATTTATATCTTATAGATACATACAAAGGTTGCACTTTTGGTTTTACATTGCACAGAAAAAAGATGGACGCTTCCCTTTAGTTTCCTTATTCTTACTAGACAGATTAGCAAGATTATCTGACTTGATTCCAAGATAAGCTCTAAATTCAAACAAGGTTTGATCTATGAAGCTGTGTTGTTACGTGACACAAGTAGTGGTAAGATGCAAATTAAGTTAAGATGTGTGTTTTTGGTTTATTTTCTTTTTGTTCGCCACAATCCACTGAAAAAAATGGTGTAGAGATGATGTTATTCACAAAGACTGCGACCCCAAACAACCTCCGCTCCTCTCTGACATAGAGAGGGAGAGCGAGCGAGGCAGAGAGAGACAGAGAGAGAGCGAGAGAGAGAGAGAGAGAGAGACCCCATATAGAGACAAAACAGACAAGGGTGTGGATGAAGACTGCCTGCAGTTACAGCAGGACGTTACTATACCACTCACTCACACGCACACACACACACACACAACAAGCCTTCATGTCCCACTGATATCCCTGCAGGAACCCGGGGCAGAGGAGAGGGCTTGTGGGGTTTTTTTGTGGGGAGAGGGGTGGAAGGTTGATTTGGGATCTCAGCTATGCCTGAGGACAGTGAGACAGCATAATCCAGGACAAGAATGTACACACTCACATGCAACCACACACACACACACACACACACACACACACACACGCCACTTACTGTTATTAATACAGGTCGTCAATTAGGCCTGACCTAGAAAGCCTGTCTGCATGAAGGCTGAACAACAAGCTGAAACAGACTGACAGGCTCAAATCTCTCCACTTACTGCGCTGCAATGTCCTGAAAGCCTGGATTAACTCACATATAAACACGCACATATATTTACAGGACCAAATACTGGCAGACACGAATAACCGTAACAAAAAGAAAAAGAAAAAACTATTTTACAAATGCAGTTCCATGCAGAGAGGCACATAGACGCTGCACTTTAAAGGAGACAGGAAAAAGAAAACAGAAACTGGTAGAGTGCCAAGACTGAAATTAGGCAACTAATTGAAAGCCTTTGTAATTGCTGTCTGCACAGTTGTTAACAGAGTAGACAATTAGTTCCAGCATGTCTGTAACTTGTTTCTGTAACTGCAGGTATACTGAGTGTTGTATGGAGGCTGGGGAAAAACGTCAACAGTCGACAGTGAGTGATATAGACACTCTTCAATTCTGTCTCTGTTGTTTTGCTTCATTTAGACGGTGGAGAAACCTCAAGGGTCCCAGGAGCCGCACTGAGTTCACCAGCTGAGGGAGGATTTTGAGGAGGGTGAAGTTGTCTTCCTGAGTGCTAACATTCAAGGATGTTTTTGGCTCTACGCCCTGCACCCAGACCCTCTGCTTTCATTTATGGTCTCATCCCTAAGAGTGTTTTCCTCCTCCATTGTGTCACACACGGCCTGTCTAAAGGGTTTATGCTCTGCCTTGTGCTAAGCACGAGGGGTGACAGTGCCAGAGCTCATCATAAATCCTAAAAAACCCTATGCAAATGCCTTTCCCCCCCTCTTTTCAGCTTCCAGCTCTGATTATTGTTGTTTTTCTTTTTAACCATTTCTCTCTACTCTCTTCCCCTCTTTTCCCTTTAGTTACTCTCTCTGCCCTCCCCATATCTTAATGCTTCTATCTGTCCTCCACTCTCACTGTGACACTGGAGTGCAGGCGTGCTCTAATCTAAGCCAGATGAGCTAGAAAAACACAGGCTTCCTCTGCTGCTTGCTTTCCCCATTAACCAAGAGGCCCATCATTTCTCTCTCCAATCACAGGGCGGACTTCTGAGGTTTACCAGCACGTCTGCATATGCATTACAGCAGACGGGCCAGTAAAACTCCTCTGTGAGTGATTTAGAATGACAGTCGATTGGCTTTGCTGCTGCCAGCTTCTATCTCCTCACCGCAGACTATTGGACAATGGCAGCCAGCCAGACTCATGGCACCTGTTGAGAATACAGCAGAATTAAAGCTGGTTTACATAAATTTTGTCTTTTTATGCAGGGATTTGGATTTCCAATTTATAAAGGCTCCCCGAGGTACCTTTTCAGATCATATTTTTTAAAGTATTGCATGCAAACAGAGCTGCAGCTGAGACTAAACTCGAGGACCAGTCACCATCAGGGCAGAGCGAGTGCTTCACCCTCTCTGTCATGGTGAGTTTGGGTTAAAGCTTTCACTTAGGACTGGCTGACTCTTCTGTACACTGCTGAGGCAGAAGGACATCACGTTCCTCCGGGGACGATTGCCGTACCGCCCTGTCACTTTCACTTTCTTATCCACAGGCCACAGCACATGGCACACAAGCCATGCAGACTGCAGCGAGAGAGTGGGACAGAAAGAAAAAAGAAGAGGGGGAAAAAAAGAAGCTGAACACTCAGCAGAGGGTCTTAAATAAATGACAGTAACCACGTTTGAATGGACAAAGTTTCTTGATCTGATTAAAAATTTGAGGGATGAGATAACCAGAATCCACTGTTCATATGGGCGCAAAATCAAATAATCCAATCATGACGTGTGTATACATGCACTAAGCTTTATTCAGATTAGAAGCATTTGGACATGAGCAGAGTTGTCTGATTTTGCTAAAACAACCGCAGAAGAAGAAGAGTTGTATTTACGCCAACAAATGCGGTAGTGGCTCACTCCATCCAGTTCAGGAGTTGTTCTGTCAAAGGTTGTACTGTGCGTGCCGCTGTGACATCATTACGCTGTATGTACGCCTTGTTATGTTACCAGGATCAGACACAACGATACCTGCAGTTGGGTTTTATGCCAGAGTGTTAATAATGAAACCTCCTGAACTGACCTCAATCAATAAGCCAAAGGCTAAAGAGTGAAGATCTAGTCAGGTAAGAGAGTCAGGATCAGAGTAAGTGTTTACATGAACGCGTTTTGGAACAAAAATCGGCATAAACCACCCCTCTCGATCGTAATACAATTTCTTTCCGATTGGACCCAATTGGATGGGAATCTTCCGATCGACATGTTTACATGACGCATTTATTCATATTATTTGTGCCCATGTAAATGCAGCTAGTTTTTACCACTGATGGAGTGTTGGTCTCTTTTTTAATATGGTTAAAGAAGTAATCAGAGTTAAAGACAGTGTTGGAAGTTTTTCACTGGTTTTGAAATGGTCTCCCTTTTTTTTAACTGATGCTTCTTCATGACTCACAAAGCAACAAAGACGGAGTAACATAAGATTATCAACATGATTCGGTGCATTATCATTGGGTTTTATTTATTAGGTTTTCTTTTAAGTTACAGTTCTCACAATATTGCAAGTAAGCACTGAAACTCTTTGCCAGCACCCGACATATTAGAAAATTACCAACAAATGGGGGGTATCGTGTAGTTGTTTAATCTGCACGAACATTTAGATGTTTACTAACAGTTTTACTTGTGCTTATTTGCAGGAGTCAGAGTGTTTTCATCAGTTCCAGTCTGGATGCTATGCGACCACAATATCATCATACTGCATCCTTTAGGATCAAAGATAGTTGCACCTGAAGCACATTTTCTGCAATGTGAGGAAATAATGTTTCTGATTAAACAAAAAGCTGATATTTCACCTGATTTTGTGTGAACACAGTGTTCATCACACTCTGTGGTGAGAGACAGAATCCCCATGGTGGCTGATGATCCAACATCTGAAAAGGAAAAGAAAAGAGGTGTAAAGGAGGCTGTTACACCCACAATCACACGCTGCTCTCTGGCGCCATGCACAGCATGCCAAATCAGGCCTTTTTTCGATACTCCTCAGTGTACCTTCCTCTTCACACTCTTTTATCTCCCTCCTCCCTTGTGTTACGCTGTTCATCCAGCCACCTTCAGCTCACAGCAGAGGGTAAAATAAGAGAAGATAGTGTGATTTCAATCAGCAGAAAGATTTAGGAGGAGAAAAAAAACATTTGGAAAGTGTGAAAGAAAAGGAAACTTTCCTCTAACACTTTATCATTTTCCAACTTCCCCCTGTGACTATTATTTCTTACAGTGCAGGTCTAAGGTCCTAAGTTAATAACACCAGGAAGAGGGCATGGAGCAGAAGAGTGGGAACAGGATCACAGAATAACACATTCACTAGACTGTGCCCCACATGAATCAAAATGACAAAGCCAATCTGGAGAAAGATTCTGTTTTCTGGCAGTAAACTGCTCAGCTCTCTGGATGACCAGATAGAGGAATACGAGCTGGAGAGGATGTGAGTTAAATCTAAAGAGTAAAACTCACTTTGGTGTGCAGCCCTGCCTTCGTGTCCCTGCAGTAGCTTTAATCACACCCTGGTTTATGGGAATAGTATTCTTCTGAGTGATACATTTGTGGGGGCATGTGTGGACCATAAAGGTTCATGTCAGCTGAGATGAAGAAGGTCAGTAAAAGTGGGTTCACTAATCCCTGCAGCTGCTTGTTGACTATAAAACTAACCAGAACCACAAGCTAACCTCATGAGTATAATAAGGTTTAAAAAAAAAAACTGTTGCATTGACTGCTAAATTCTGTTGCCTTTGGCAGGAGGATCAAAATCCCAAAAGCAACAGGTCATCAGCAAAGAAAAATCCCCTCAATACTGTCATAAAAGAGTTCCTTGGAGCTGGTTGTTTGTTGAGAACTTCAACTCACTGATTCACAGATTTTCCACCAATTTCAAGCTCAGGCTCGAAAGCTGAACTGTTCTCATGATGATAAACTGCTGTATAACTTTTCTCCTGTCACATCAATACAGGGGATTTGACATTTACATTTTTAAGGCTTCAGGATTTACCAGCAAATTTAAATGCGATGAAAGTGAGCGCCTGGGAGGGACACATTTAAAACCGTAAAACTGCTGATATTAAGACCTGCAGACTACAGTATTTATGCTTTTTCAACCTTATTTAGCAAGGACTTTACATGGCTCTAATTTTACCTGGTAATACCACAAGAGCTACAGGCCACCTATGATATAACAGTAATATGTGAGATGGTGTCTTACACGGCTAATGAGCTATAAACATGTCTCTCATTTATAATGTAGCCAGATTTCCTTCCGAATATTCACTGTATCAAAAAGCATGAATCAGTGCAGATCATAGATTGTATATACTATGGACAACTTGGTTCCGCCTTTCGCCAGTATACGGATTTGAAGCTGAAAAGTTCTCGGTAATTCTACGTTTTCCTCCGTTTCCTGAAACCGACATTGCCCAGTAGCGTTGTACACTCTCCACCACTTGTGCAGCAGCATTGTACACATTCGGCGGGAGAGTCGCTGTGATGACGCTCGGCTCAAACAGCGTTTCCCCCAGGTGCGATATTTTTTTCCGTATGATGGTAGGGGAAGGTCCCGCCTCCTTCGCCTCTGATTGGCTAGAAAAGCTGGGCTCCGATTGGTTATTCCTTACAGCTGTGAAACGTCATCCCACGCTCAATCTGGTAACACCAGTTACCAGAGTTTCAGTTACCAAGTCGGAAAAAAGCGAAATCGGAGGCCTGAAACAAAATGGCTACATCTACGTTATTTTAGCGCTTGCCTTATATTCAGACAAGGCAAGCACTAAACTAACTTTTGAAGATGTAGCCATCTTGTTTCTGCCTCCTCTTTGCTTTTTTATGACTTGGTAACTGAGAAGCTGGTAACTCGGGTGTGACGTCATTTTCAGCTTGGACTTCTTACTTCCGAGGTAACGTAACTCCAACCCTAACCCGACAGACGATGACCTTTTACAGCCATAAGGAATAACCAATCGTAGCCAAGCACTTCTACTTTTAGCCAATCAGAGGCAAAGGAGGCAGGACCGTCCCCTACCATCCTACAAAAAAAATTCGCCCCTGGGTGAGCTAGGCAATCTTCTTACGCCCATAGGCTGTATCAGGTGTCAATCATAGAGCTTGTTAGCAAGCAGTCTGGACATTTCCCCCCTTTTTTTGTTACATTGCCATAGTAATACCAGCAGAAAGACTCTAACTAGCTTATTTATTTGTTAGCTTGTCAGTTAGCCTGAATGAAAGTGATAGGTGTTGTCTTACTTAGCTAGTTAGCTATCAAATACAGTGTTCTGGCTCCAAATATCACCAGAGTTTCTCTGTTTACTGTTGATTCAATCACTTTTAAACTTCAATTCCTTTTCAGTCTTTATTTATAGGTATAAAGAAACATTAAAAAAATCAACCACTGCGTTTAAAAATGTGTTTATTATTATGATGATGTTGGGATTCAGTTGATTTTCTTCCACTAAAACAAGGCCATAGATTTTGAAACCTGTCATCCAAAGATTTATGTAAAGTCTTAGTGGTCAGATGAGAATATAAAGCTTGTTGAAGAAGAGAAGGAGTTAAGCTTCTTTTTCCATCCAGGACCCAGGTGCACCCCCAGGTGTCCACCCCCAGGCTGTGAGAGTCTCCAGGCAAAGGGAGACCTTTAACAGCTTTGAGATGGAAGCACACACTATTCCCCAGTAGCCCATAAAAGACAGTGTTCCTCAGCCCAATTCCCCCCTGTCTGTCTGGTAAGGCCTCATAAAAGACTTAACTGGTCTCACATGACCCCCCCCTGTCCACTGGTGACGTGATAGGCTGGATCCCTAAAAGCTGTGGGTGTAACTGCATGGCCTCAAGCTGTAAAGGGCAAGGTGGTTCACTGCAGAGCTCATCCTCTCCTGCTGTCTGGACGGTCTGAAGAAACAAACACAAGCTGGGCTGGAAGGGAAAGGGTTCAAATACGACTGAGAAGTTCATCACTTTGTCAAAGGTCTGAACAGGGTACTCCAGTGATTTAGAAATACATTCCTACAACACCGGCAGACCCACCATCTAAAAAAAATAATCAAAAAGCTATGCTCCCATTGTCTTATCCTGGAAACTATTTTCTCTCAGAATCTGGTGTCCACATGGTCCAAACTTGGACAAAAACACAGACAGTTCAGGTATTCAGCTTTGTTATGCTACAGCACCTAAGCTGACCAGAAGCTGCTGACCTTTTGAGAAGAAGAAGAAAGAGTGGCATTATCACTTATTTCCTGCCAGACAGTTTCCTTTGCCTTGAAGCATTTCCCACTTTGACAGACTTCAGTGAATATATTGCAAAAAGAGATTATTTTGGGGGACAACTCTAAAAATATCCAGCTGTTACTGCTCTGTCATAGGCTCAGAATTTAGCAGGTTACCAACTTTATGTTCTCTCCTGTCAGCCTCTTTGAGTGACAAGACAGTGAACAAAGTTTTATCAATTGGAAATTTGAGGAAGGGTGTCACTCAGGGAAGGACCTAAAATAGAGAGTGGTAAAATCTCCACACTGGTGTTGGCATGCTAGCAGTAGCCATGTGTAATTCACAGGTTAGAAAAAGAAGGAGGGCAAGAGTCATAAGATGTGTTAAATATCATAGGCTGCTGAATATGTTTTAGTTACCATAGTTACAGGTGAAGTTTACTGCATAGATATTGTCAATAATTTGGTGTTAAGTCACAGAAACGTGTGATACTTTGGTCTGAAGATTGTTTCTTCAGTTTTGCCTCTTATTTTTTCCAACACCACTCATGTATTAGCTATTGACAGACAGCGAGAAATACAAACCAAGTGAAAAACTAGGATAAAATTTGGGACAAAACAAAAAACTAGATTGAGTAAAAGAAAATGAAAGATAGATTGCTTTGAAAGTGACTCCCATTAGTTAACATTTGTTTTTGTGTATTTTCTTGTATTAAATTAGTTGTTATACCTTTGTAAAGGAACATTTTTCAATAAAAATTAAAGTGGAAAAAAAAGTATGATTATTTACTTATAAATATGAACCTCTATAAAACTTCAAAACATTACAGTATTACAGTTAATTGTTGCAAACCTATCTTTTAGCACTGAAAAACTAGAATAGAATATTAAGAGCAACAATAAACTGGAACACAAAAAATATTTTCACCCTCCTACCCATCATTTTCTTGGAAAGCGTTACATGATGGCCTACATCAATCATGATTTTACAGTTTCTGTTGCCTGCAGCTGAAGACTGTGGACTGACGCTGTGTTCAGTGACATGTGGGTGACTTTTTCCTGGATGTTTGTTTGTGGTTTGGCCTTTGTTGAGTTTTTCTTCAGCTGGGGGAAGTGTGCTGTTGTGACCAGAGTGCAAACGCAGCACCCCGGGATCCATCCCTCCATCTGACCCCTGCTGACCTCTCACTTTTTGTTGTGAGCAGCCCATCCACTAACATTGCAGAGGAAGAGTGTGGCCCGGGGGAGACCATTAGCTCCAGTCTGTCTCTCTCTTTTTTTTTTTTTATCTTGACCTGAAACAGGATCACCTACACTCACAGACACACTTCTGCTTAATAGGAGGGGGGACATTTTTGTCTGGCTGCAAACACCTCCAGCCCTCCTTCCTGCTGTTCACAATCACAGTCTCAAGTATTTCCTTAAAACCTCCCTGTCCACCCGTATTTTTTCTCTCTTCCTACCTTTTCTCTTCCCCTCACACGGACAGAGGCATTCCAACACATTTGTTTCTGTTTCCCCCTCTGGCTGTCTCTTCCATCTCTGTTTTTAAGCTCTCTTAGGCCAAAAAAAGTAATTAGGTCACCATTTATCTGAACAAAAGAATCGCACGATTCCTCTCTCTCTCTTATAGAAGGATATGTACATGTGTGACCTGGAACTTTCTGGATTAAGAGTTTCTTTCTGGGGTCAACAGGACTGAAAGTCTCAGATGTTCGCGCCATGAACTCATCCTTAAGCTTACTGAGCTGAAACATCTGGGCCCCCTACTTTTTCCTGCACAGCTTTCTGCTGAGCCCAGAGATGGATCCTCAAGGACTTGTCTGATATACGGTGTGCACATTGAAGAGGTCTGTTGAGTGACAGCACCTGACAGCCTGTGATGCACACTCTCATAGTCGAAAAAACCAACAGCAGTGGGCCGTTTGTCATTACTCCTGGTAATGTAGCCCAGCTGGCTGCCTGTCACGTGGCGCCACCTGTACCCAAATCCCAGGGTGCTTTTTGCGCATGCATATGCAGTACGTGTGTCTCGGCTGTCTGCGCCTCCTGCCTCAGGAATAGGAGTCAGAATGTCTGTTTGAAAGCATGTAATGTTAAAGGTACAACTCTTTAAATGTGATTGTTGGAAAGGTTGGCCCAAAAGGCTGGATCCCCCTGCTGTCTCACTTCTGTGTAAACACGACTCCCTCTGTGAAGAAGAGGAAGAACATTGAGAAATAGAGCAAAATACACGAGGAGGAGGAAGGGGGACTGAGGAAGAGGGACGGCACAGACAGCCACAGCAGGGGGCATGCTGTTTTCCATATTAGCCTGTCAATGAATCTCATTATCACGACTTCGCTAATCAGCACACGAGAATATTCCACTGAAGGCCATCCGCTCTGCTCCCCACCTCTTTTCTCTCATGATTACATATGCATAAATTTACCGTTTACTCCTTTTCTTTCTATCCATTAAGCTTGATTATTACTCTTTGAGGCAGCGGCGTCTATTATTCGCTCCTGTTACGCCCAGTGTGTTGTCCTTCTATGTGAGACACAGCAGGCTGCCATGTTAAGGATATCCACTCTGCACTCCTCACATCAGGAGAGGCTTGTTTTCTGTCTGTTTCAGCTGCACTCAGTTAGCAGTGGAAATAAATGGGCACTCATGCTGAAAGCCTGTCTTTTCCTAATGACAGCTCTGAAGATAAATACTGCCAAACACTGCTCAGAGTGACACCAAAAATTTTAGGTTGCTTTAATATTGTACAGTAATTTCTGAGATACCCACAAGAGCGCTCTTTTATCTCTTATCTGTTTGTTGTTGACGTAATCTACTTGTGAATTCTTTCACATCTTGGAGATCTGCTTGTGCATTCATCAACAAGGATGGCAGGATGTTTGCATAACCTAAATGAAAAGCAGGTTTCCCACCGAAAAGCTGAGGATGAACGCTGAGGGACAAAGAGGTGCCACATGTGTCACACGACAGGGCCCCAACAGGAAGCCGTCTGCTTTTCGAACAGGAAGGGCTGACCCCAGGAAGGGGTGTCCCTCTTTTTATTTTCCCCTTGTCTTTCCCTTAATGAGAGCAGCTGGTATCCAACACAAACAAAGCAGCAGCTATCATCCAGAGACGTGAAAACACTAATGCTTGATCGTCCTCTGAGAGATTTGCATGGCATGAGATGAAACAGACAAGATTAGAGGTTGAAGCAAAGAGCCATGCCAGAGACATCCCAACACCACACATGCTCATTCTTTAATCATGATCAAGTCCTGCCAGTATCGCAGAATTTGAACTCCAAAGGCTGCTTGGCATCAAATGGTACCAGCACAGTTTGGTCTATCTCTCCAACATCTGACAGAGTGACTAATAGGAGCTTCTGAAGATTAACTCCCCCGAACCCCAAGAACCTAAACACCCTTAACTCAGTATATGACTCTCTCTACATGTTCTGAAGCAGCCTGAGAAACACTTCTGACATACAGTTTAATGTCCAGACAGATTCACTATCTGACCTCACAGCCCTCGCCTTTTCTTGATGCTGCTTTCAAAACAGCTCAACTTGCTGTTGTTCCCCAAGTCCTGTGTGTTCTCAGGGTGCGTCCCCGGCACTCAATGTACAGATAGGATAAATAAATCACACACAGGCTCTCTGGAGAGCGGGGAAACTGTCTGGAACAGGCTTCATAAAGAAAAGACATCTGGTGGAGTAGCTGGAGCCTTTCTGTTGGGGAGAAGTTGACTTTTAAATATTATGATAGGAGAGCAGCTACAGAACGAGCCACTCCAGCTCTCCATAAGTTAAAAGAAGTTCACTGGGATAAGTTTTATATAATTACAGTTTGGTTGTTGCTGGTTACATTTCCTGGAGTAATACTGGTTAAGCTACAAGTTCAGGCTGACTGGTGGCAAATATTTTTAGGGAGTTTGTTTCTCACCTTTAGCGATTGAGGTAACAGATCGTGAAAAGATAAAATAAGATTTTTAAGAACCTGTTTCAATAACTAACACTTGCATTCAACTACTAGCTAGCAAGCTAACATTTGATACAGACGTATACATAGACTGTATATACTATGGACAACTTGGTTCTGCCTTCTGCCGGTATACGGATTTGAAGCCGAAAAGCTCTCGATATTTCCGCGTTTTTTCTCCATTTCCTGAAACCAACATTGCGCAGTAGCATTGTACACAATTCGCCACTTACGCAGTAGCGTTGTACACAATGGGCGGGAGAGTCGCAGAGAGTCACTGTGATGACGCTCGGCCCAAACAGGGTATCCCCATAGGCTGAATCAAGTGTCAATCATAGAAAACATGAACCCCCTAATAACTTTTAAAAATAAGGCTGTACAGAAAAAAAGAGGACTTCAGCACAAACTAGTCTTACAAAAACTACATGTCAACATCACAAGCAGGAGGGAGAAAAATGTATATTCTGTGTAATTAATTTCTGTCCACAACCCTACAAGGATTGCTGGAGGAGGCAGAATTTATGACCTATACTGCAGCCCGTCACCAGAGGGTGCTGTTCTCAGAGTGGCTTCACCCAGCGAGGAGGCAGACAGCGTCCATTCTATATACAGTCTATGGTTACATTTCCTGGAGTAACATTAGTTTAGCTACAAGTTCAGGCTGACTGGTGGCAAATATTATGAGGGAGTTTGTTTGACACACGTTTAGCGATTAAAGTAACAGGTTTGTGCAGCAGTTAACATTTGCATTCAACTACTAGCTAGCTAACATTTGATACTGACATATACAGCTGTATCCCAGCTTTCATATTTGGAAACCTTAGATATACAGTAAAATAGTATTAGTATTTTACACGGGATTGACAGTCATGTTGATTTGAATTCTTAAAAGCAAGTTTTAGAGGTCATGTTCCAGCTTCTGATGCTGACTGCATGTTTGACAGGGTTTATTGCTTTGGGCTGGATGCACTGCATATGAATCCTGTTATTCACTTTGAACGTTGCTTAAGTCTTTCCTAGCTCAGACATGTTTTTAAGTTTTAATAGTGTAACCTCATTTAGTAGTTTTTTAAAAACTTTGCACACACGCTTCAAAAGGGATCTATGAATACTGAAACAGAAAGAAAGAAGAAGAAAGCTACAACACTTTGAGAGGGTATATGTCGTATGATAACACAGACTGTTAGACACTTTGGAGGGGTTGGAAGATGAGTAGTCTGTTAAGAAATTAAAATATAGCAGGACTGGTTGATGCCCCATCAATCCTGGTCCTGGTTTTTACTTAACGCATTATTATTAATCTGAAAGAGGGGAAGCAAAACCACTCAAAACAAGGGCTCAATGCCCTATGCTTTGGGGCATGTTGACACAATACTGCTCAAAAAATCAGAGTAGAAAAAAGAAACAGAAGCAGCAAGTTGAAGTAGGTAAATCAGGCGAGAAACAGAGGGAAGGAGCTACCTGAAACAAATGTGCTGGAAGGCTTTGCTATCAGGGTGACAGGTGCATTATCATAGGTTAATGAGAAGCCTGTAGCTTCTCTGCCTCCTCTACCGTCTCCATCAATCAGATCAGACACAGACTGCCACTGAACCGCTGAGCTCACACTCCCAAGCAACACATAAGTATGTACAATGCACCAAAACATGCAGAAAGAGCTCATTATAGCTTGTGGACTACACTGTACAACATTATTGAGACCGCAATTTGGGATAAAAGATTACAGCGTGATTATGAGGTATTTATGGACACAGTGAGAGATAATTAGCACATCGGGCACAGCCTTGAAGTGTGAGCACCTAAAGATGTTAATTACAGCTGGTACTGCAGTCTGTGATCGCTGTAGAAAAAAACAATGGCTAACACATTTCTTTTAATTCAAATTATGGTCGTACAGATTTGTCTTTTGTGCCTTTTTTTAGGTTTAAAGTTAGAAAGAAGATCAGATGTGACCATAAAGTGGAAATAGGAGAAGATGGTCGCTGCTGGTTTGTTGCTGGGATTGCTTGGAGGATGCAGCTGTCAGTCGAATTGTAGGACACGCCACACACACACACACACACACACACACACACACACACACACACACACACACACACACACACACACACACACACACACACTTGTACAGACACACACAGTCCTGATAAAGCAGAGCTGACAACCCTGATGTTGATTAAAATAATTTTGGGATGATTTTTCTAGCCTGAAGAGGACACTGCTAAGAGATTACTTAAATTATCAAATGGTCTACCCATTTTTCTCCCAAACAACATTGTCAAATCATTACATCTTAAGTGTACTAGAAATAAAGACGTGTCTCTTGGTTTAGAAGATGAAATTTGATCAAAATAATCTATAATTTTGTGTTTAGTTGATTAAAATTAAGGCACAGAAGACTTTTTAAGTTTAAATACCATTTTATCCTAAAGTGTAGGTATTGATTGTGAAGGTTGGAGTTTGATAAATATTTTTAAATTAGAGTTTAATCACCTGAATATAAATAACTTATAAAATAAAAAACAACTATTGTTGTTAACTTAAACTGGACTTTTTGTATCGACATTTGAAGATTTGTTTATTTTTTTTGTAAACGTTCTATTTTCGTCAAAATACAAACATAATGGCACATTGGTGATACTTTGAGTATAAAGTGTTGAATTATATTTTTAGATGAACAAAATCTATCAATATTCGAAGAGTTTCCTTACCGTGAACGCCGCCATCTTTCATCACCATTTTCCTACGGTAGGGCAGAACGGACAAACTAGTAACAGCCAGTCAATATGTACCTTTTGGAAAACGAAAAAGAAGACACTTGCTGCTGTTGTTGTTGTTGTTGTTGTTGTTGTTGTTGTTGTTGTTGTTGTTGTTGTTGTGTGTAAAAATTTTTATTGATAGATAATTTTGATGATAAAAACCATAGACTGTATATAAAACTCGACAAATTGTGGTTCATGCCCACATACATGAAGTGAAGTTGTATTCTTTCTGCATTAGCTTAAATTCTAACTCTAGGGGGCGCCACTTGGAAAGGGTCAGAGAGGTGTTTGTAGTGAAATGTCCCTGTTCTTTTGTCTCTGCTGTTTTTATCGTAATCACTCTATAGTCACAACAAATAAGGATTTAAAGATTTATTAGTCAAACAGCTCCTTATTTAGATGAAGCTACTTGGTAGAATCAACTTGAAATGTCTAAAGTCTGCTTAAGTATTGGTTATTGTTTCTGTAAATTAATTCAATTATATCGAATGAATGTTAATATTCTAACATCTGATTACTTTAAATCTATAACTACACCGTGAAAATGGATAAGGTCCATTCATATGTGTATGTTGTTTGTACTGGTCTAGTTTTGTTGTTTTGTTTTTGTCTTGTAGGCTGTTGTGAGTTGTTGTCTTTGTGTTTGTGGCGTGATGTTTTTTTGTGTCTTTGCACTGCAATGGAGAGCTAATTGTAAATGTAGACTCCAGGAAGAATAGCAATGGCTTTAGCCAAAGCTAATGCAGATCTAAATAATGAAAAAAAAAGTAACAGACTCTGGATATAATGCATTGTTTGTCCAGGAAGTAAACACAAGATCAGAATATACTCTGTGTGTCCATTGTTTAGATTCAATCAGAAGCGTACGTTTTTAAGAATAAGAATAATAAATTTGTTTTATTATGTACTAAAATGAGAATGTGTCAGCTTATTTGTACTCATCAAGACATATAAAACTCAACAGTAAATATATTGTACAAGTAAAACAATCTGACATATGGAATAATGTGGCTCAACTACACAATCCTTGAAAAGTTATGAGATAAAATGAGTCTTAAACTGAGGTCATCAGAATCAGACTAACGTGTTCCCGTTACTTAGCAAAAAAGGATGTGTTTACTTGTATTTTAAAATGTACAAATTAGATGCTGCTGGAGTTTTTATATATTTTTTTTAATCTTTCTGGAGTATGTATGACACTGTTGCTTAGTCATTGCATTTCTCAGTCCACTTTTAGTGCCAAGAGCCTCTCTTCATGCCCATCTTTTCCTCTCTTTTAGTCTACCTCATCCTCTCTCTCATCCATCTCAGTGGACAGGAGTGGGATCTGTGCTTTTATGGACCCAAATTGCTGATATTCACCGATGCTTGGCAGAGGCAGTGGAGCTGCAGCAGCAGAGTGATTTTACTCACTGAGGGCCAAAGAGGCCACATGGAGAGGAGGGCCTGGCCTTATCACACTGTATTAGCCCACAAGAGGGATGATAGAGAGAGAGAGGCATTCGGTATCAGGTAGCCCCTGAGTGTGAGTCAGAAAATCATTCATCCCCTGTCTTGGATTCTTCGAGCCGCTGGGCAGGAAATGAGGCAAGGGACACCCGCTGACCTGCAGCCACTTTCTGCTGCTCAGCCTATCACAGAAACAATTTAAGCAGCTAATGGAAGCAGGCATGATCCTCTTTTCCATGCATACAGAGATGCTGTGACTCACTGCTAGTCTGATTAAAGCTTAAAAGTCGGCGGCTACAGGCAGTTCTGTCATAATACAGATCTATGAAACGGATATGTGCAAGCAGGCCAGTGTTTGCGTTTGATCCCTGAGAGAGATTACAAACAGGAAAGCTGTGAGGGTCTGTTGTAGAAGAGGAAGGGGACAGCCAGATGGGTCAGCCTGCAGGTGGAGGTGGGGTCTTTTGTGGGGTGACTAAGGGGCAAGTGGGGGTGCTGCCTGAACATGTCCATGACCCAGGATGCTGAGTGAAGAGCATCATGTGAGCAGAAGGAGAGACCCGAATAAAAACTCAGACAAACAGGCAGAGAGAGAGAGAGAGAGATCATTCCGGTTAACACACCTCTGAATTTGTATTCAGGTAGTGTACAGTTGTGTAAAATGCACACATACGTATGCGCTCCACAGATAGAAAATAATGTTTAAAGATTTCACCTCAAGTTGAACGTTCTCCAGAGAGCTGCTTTTTAAATCAGCCCATTCTTTTAAATCATTCCAGGTTACTTACTGAACACATGGCCCTGACATCTTCATCATTCATACTTTTATTTCATTTGCTCTCAGAGGGATCATCATCTGTCCCACTTCCTCTGCCCTGACTGACAGTTATGTGGAAAAAACAGAGGAAGCTTTCCCTTCCTCCTTGGGTTGAATCCGTGTGTGTGCGTGTGTGTGTGTGTGTGTGTGTGTGTGTGATCTGATGAGCCAAGCAGCAGCAGCAGCACAGTATCATTCTACCCAAACAGACTTAGTTTTTGACAGCATCCACATCTGCAGAAAAGCCTGAACTACTTTCTTACTATCAGATGATTCACCATCTGTTTTCTTTTTTGAATAATAAACTATGGCTAAAATGAACAAATGATTTCAGTGATTGATTTAGTCAGTCCAATTAAAGTGCACTTTCAGATATTGATCATTATTCCCCCAAGGATCGACAAAACAAGATTTTTATTCCTGAACACAAGTTTATAAATTGAAAATATCGACAGCTTACACCGCATTTGCATCCCTTTAATGTCACTCGAATGAAAACTAATAATCCGATATGTTGCCTTATTCTCCAATTTCCAGATGTACTTTTAAAATGTCTCCTTTCGAGGAGTTTTCAGCTGTTAATCGAGCAGAAAGCAGTGAAATAAGAACAGCCTGATCCTTTTTATTATTAAAACTTGAAACCTGCAGTGAAAATAGCAGAGGTAAGGTAGCAAGTTTAACACCCTGAATATTGTGTTATCAAACTGTTAAAACATTTAGGCTTATTTTGGGGTGTATTTGATAAAAACAAACCTCAAAATTTCCCCCTAAACTGTAAAATCTGTAGAAATATGATTACAAACACATCTGTGTGTTGGTGTAAAATTGGTACCAATATATACATATATACATCTCCTTAGGTGGTGATGATTCCCAGGAGTGTGTCTAGATAACAAATCATGAAGACGTCTCAAATCAGCGGGTCTACTCTACAAACTTTGTCACATTATATTCAGGTTACAGACCCATCACAGGCCCAACATGAGCAATCCTTTGGCATCAGAGACAAGGACAAACTCAGTCTTAATGGGCAGAAACCTTGGGCAGGCACAGACTCATTGGTGGGAAGTCATCTGTACTGAATTAGTATGAATAACTCCAACTTATAACAGAATGCCATCAGTTCTGTATGACTGAAATCCTCATCACAACCGTGTCCCTTTTTAGTCTTTTTCTGATGACGATCCAGGAGCACTAAATTCAACAGTTTGTTCTTTAATCCAGTGTCTTTTTTTTAAGAGATTTGTTCTGGTCTATGGATTAATTTCTTTATTACCTCGCTTCATGGATCCCACAGTTGTTGCACTTCCAGTCCAGTTATGTTTTTTAATGAGGGGCTGATGCCCTGCACTTGAAGCTCTCAACATGGACAAAGCTTCCTGATGAGCTGTGTCTGCTGGCTTACATAAAAAACGCCTCCTGAGAGAAGACCACACCGTACTCCTTAAACTGAGGTTAAGTGTCTCAGACAATAGTGAGTAAGAGCAGCAGAGGTCTGAGCTGTGATTGTGAGCCGGCGGTGATATATTACCTTTTGACATGACATCATGAGGCACCGTCTCCCCTGATAAGACTCATGGCACTAAAGTTTCATGAGCAGCTCTCTTTTGTGTTTACAGCAGGAGCAGTTCTGTTATCCTAGTGAAATGAATGGATGTGGAGCTCTTTGTTCTGTTCAGCCCCAGGAAAGTCAGACTAAATTAACATGAAAATATAAAAAGACTAAATTTTGAGGAAAAAAAATCAGCCTGGAGGTGATGAACTGTGAAAGAAGAGAAATAAGTCATTTCTTTAAAAATCTGCACAAAGCCTGTAATTAAAGCTACGGCTTCAGCAAATCAGCTTTTTAAAACATAATTAATCTATTGATGAAGAGTTCTTTCTTTTATGGTCTCATTTTTTTTGACACACACGTCTCTCAGTGGGTATGTGATGCTTTAATGTGTACTGCCATCTGCTGGCCGCTTGAGGAACAACTGAAGAGGCAAAAAGGAAGAAAAGAAAATGCACAGCCAAACATTTAACAAGGTTTCAAACAATAAAATAAGCGTACAGCAGACTCTCATTAGTTCAGATTTATTAATAGTTCTAGGTTGAAAAAAAAAAAAGTTTTTTAACATGGCTTACAGGTCCACAAATATTTTTTCTTCCAAACAAAGACATCATTTTCTTGTAAAAAGTGTACAAATATTTTTAACAAACAATAAAAACGCCTTCATCTCGTTAAGTTAAATAAACGTTTCAATTTTTCAGGTAACAGAAAAAGAAGAGAGGTGAAGATGTGAGGGATAAAACAGGTTTTTTCAACAACGGTTGGTGTCAGCCCTTATTGAGTACTGATTTGATTTGAAATAACTGGCGTGGAAAAAATACCAGCCACATAAAAGTGCAAATGTACTCGCTAAATCAACAATAAATCTAGCAGTGATAGTGTGTTTGAAATGAAGATGGAGGACTGAGAAGATGGGATGGACAAGTGGGACGGGGAAGCGTAGCTCGTAGCTTCAGATTTAAATTCATTTCAGGGTTTATAGTCACGTCACAAATATGAAATCACTGCTGGGCTGAGGTTCTTCTCTGCTCTTGTTACCAATAATCTAAACCAGACAAAATGACTTCTGGGAAAACAATCACACAGAGATGAGAGATACATCGTGGTCACACAGCTGCCATTTTCATGTGCTACTCCTGTGAGGGTGAAAGGGACAGGACAGGAACTTGAAATAAGGTTTGGTAATCTGTAATGCGTAAATCTAAATGGGAGAATGTCAAAGAAATAAAAATATGGTGGCTGAAGTGATGACATATTCACTTTAAAGGTTGAGGATTTCTCTGATTTAGACTAAAATATTGCTGATGAGCTGCTGCGCCAGCCGTATTCTGTACATCATAAACAACCTACAGGAAACGGAGAACAATAGGACTCTTATAACAAGAGCAAGTGGGTGAGAGCTTTCCCATATAAAACGCTGATCAAGCACCGAGTGCCATAATCCCTCCCCAAAGTCACATGTACAGATTTAAAAAAAAAACAAACAAACAGAGATGACATAAGATTATAAAAAGCATAAAAATACTCACTCAACATATCATACACACACTTACTTCATGCATAACTAGTCATTTTGGGAAGCTACTGGGTACCAGTCAGACACACCCAAGGAGGAGGACAGAGACGTGATTTAGAGACGATCAGCGGGAGGGAGGAGGAGGTGGTGGTGGTAGTGGTGGGTGTAAATGGAGGTTAATATCAGGCTACTGGGTACAAGGAGCTGATGAAAGAAACCAAAACCTCCACCACAGCAGCCCTGCCCCAGTTTCTCCTCCACCCTCGGAGCCAAAAATACTAGCTGCACGATCACACAGTGACAACGTCTACTACACAAAACCCTCGCCGTCCTGTCTCCCTCTCATCTCTGAGCCCCAGAGTTATAGATGCTCCGGCTCTGCCCACTACATGTCACTAAAGTGCTCTCTGTACTACGATGTTAAGCGCTTCATTGAGGTCATCCATAAAAAAACAACAACAACACATTAATGTACATTTGCAACATATAAAACCTCAAAACTCTCAGGCTTCCAACAAATAAAATTACAAAAAACTTAGAAATGTCTCCTTGAAAACACTGAAGGATAAGACAACAGCTGTAACTTGTAGGATTTATGTCCAACAAGTGCGTCAAGTTTGACTGTGTGTGCGCACACGTGTGTTCTGTGAGACATATGGGGCATGACAAATTTGTACAGCTGTCAAGGCAAGGGAAGCTTCAATCGTGGAGACAGCTGTCTTAATTTGTGTGTGTATGTGTGCTCATAAGTCTGTGAGACAAAGAGAATGAGAGTGAAAGAGTGGGTCCAACTGTGTGCTGGTGTGTGAAGCTAAATCTGTCCTCCTCAGTACTTTGGTACTTTGGTGTAATCCTCCTGGACGACACTCTTGCACAGACACATGGAGAGGATCATCCCGAGGAGCTGGAAGACAAAGAGGAGACAACTTAGTCAAAGTTCAGTCAAGCTACAGTTAGAGCTCAATAAGGTGATTTAACTGCACTACTGTCTTGGTCCCAGTTCACATGAAATGGGCAAGAGTTAAATTATTGACAAAAGTGTGTCCACCTCTGCTACGGTAGATAGTGACATACAGTATCTGGTTTTATTGGTTTGCCTCCTGGTTGACATAAATCAAGGCGTTAGAAGAAGCTAAGAGGATGGATGTCAAATGATGAAAACATGATCACTCTTACAGCTCTGTCCTGTTTGTTTCGAAACTTTCATTTGTTTTGTTTACTATCTTGCTCCTTAGCAACGCATGCATGACTATTTGACATGTGTGAACACTGGAGTATGCGCAGAATGCTAATGTGTTTAAATGATTTTTAAACGTTCAGTTATAGTCAGACTAAAGCAATAAACCGATTTTCAGAAGTTTATGTAAACCCATTGAATGAAATTTGCAACCCTGGCCAGCTTTGCATTTAAATTTGTTTAATTTGAACTCAGCTTGAATAAAAATAAAATTCGAAGTGAATTTATTTTTTTCCTTAATGTAATAATAATAAAAAAATTTCAGCAAGTTTGTGATTTTAATCTAATATTAGACTACATAATGATCATTTGGCACGTGTGTTTGTTTTCTGCTTTTATTGTTCCTTTTTTTAGTGATATTAATGCTCCATTCCTTATTCATGTCATTTTTTCTTGATTGATTGATTGATTGATTGGTCTGAGAAGTGCCAAAAGAATGCATGCCAAAATTTCCACCAAACTGTTTCTTTAGTCTCCCCTAATTCTAACCCCAAGACCGTAGACAAAGATTATTAGCGGTTTTGCACAAAATGTACATTAGAGGCAAGTGGCCACCGCTTGTGTCAAAGAATAAAGCCAATGGAGTTCCTTTAGTATCCTCTTGAGGCTGACCTCAAGCCAGCAGAAATAAACATTTACAGTTCAGGCCTGAACTGCTGATTTCTGTACTTATACACGCTCCTCAGAGAGCTCATTTTTGTTAGAACTCATTCACTGTGATCAAACTGAGGCCAAGAGCTGTACAGTGTGTCCATGGAGGCCAAATGTTTAGTAATGTACTTTGCAAGGAGGAAAACATTTCATTACTTGAGTCGGTCGCTATTGTTTTGAAATCCAGTGTGAGTTGTCAAATAAATTGTTCAAAGTTTTAGAAGTCTTCGATATGAAACCATTTTTCTCTCTTTCTGTTAGCTATGATACCAGGAGACTGTCGGCAAAGCTTTATGGCTGAAAGACTACAAACTGTCTTAAAGCACCTCTCAGGATCTCTTACTGAGATGTAATGATGACATAAAGACTAAAGTGAAATAGTCGGTGGTGAGATGGACAGTCATGCTTCATATCGAACATTAAAGACATGAATTGTTTTTTTCTTTATCTCACCTAACCTTTCAAAAGTTCACATGAGTTGTCTTTTGGAAACCAGCCCTCGAGAACAGATTGCTAAAGCCTTATTTTGATTTGAATTTTCAGCATGAATGTTTTCCCTCCGCTGTGATCGTTCTGAAAAAGATCCAAATCCATCCTTTAAAGCTAGCATGGGGGGGAAGACAGATACCTCAATGACAGCCACACCGACACAGATTCCCAGAATAACTCCACAGTTGTCCAGGAGCCATTTCTCCACGCTGGTTATACAGCCCTGGAGGAGAAAACATAAGGAGAGAAGAAACAGGAGGTTAAGAAAGACACAGAAAGAGGGGGGTGGCAGTTTGACAAGCGGAGCAGAGATGAATGTGTACGTGATCCCGGCCGGACATGAACAGAGCCTTTTCAAAACACAACTGTTGGCTTTGGACGGAGTCAGTGAGGGGAAGAATAACACGGCTGAGCTGAAGAAAAGGGTTCAGAGCGAGCGAGAGAGAAAAGATTCTGAAACAAGCAGACCAAACAGCAGAACAATGGAGCTTTCCTCATGTTTGATTAAATCGTACAGCACAAACAACACGCCTCGGTTTGTATTCACTGCGCTGATTAAAAGAGCGACCACAGTGCCACACAGAGCTGGCAGACAGAGTTACAGAACACAAATCAAACACACAAGTATGTAATGAAGAAAGGTGTAACATGAAGGAGAACAATGCAGGCGTGCTGCAGCTCCGACGGCTCAGCTGAAGTAACTCTTGAGTTTGTTCACATTTACTTCTACCCTACAATCTGTGGAAACCTCAGTGAGACATTTTTAAATCATGTTATGTCACATGAGGACAGTGCTGCAGTTTCTCTGAGTTTATTTACAGAAGAAAAAAAGTACTGTCCCTCAGAGTTTTGTAGACTTCCATAGAGTAAGAACATTTGCCAGTACTTGACCTCTTTTAGTTACAAAATAGGATTAGGGCCACAAGAAGAGAAAAGAATAATTACTAGACAGAGATTTTTTTAATTTCGATTTCGAGATTAAAGTCGAAATATAAAATAGTTGAAATTTTGACTTTATTCATGTCGACTAATCATGAAATTTCTACTTTTTCAAAATTTATTTATTTTTTAATCTCAAAATTTCAACATTATTCACATTTCAACATTTTATAGTCTTGAAATTTCAATTTTTAATCTCAAAATTTTGACTTTATTGACATTATTTCGATGTTTTTAATGTTGAAATTTCGACTTTAATCTCAAACTTTTGACTTTAATCTTAAACTTTAGACTTTAATCTCCCTCCTGTAGTTCTTTTTCTCTTTTTGAGGCCCTAATCTTCTTTTGTATTTGGTGGTGTGGTCCACAGTTGACAGTTCTTCCTAAAGCTATAATGTTGTATGTTTCAGTTGCCGAACATGCAAGATACTCTGCTACCAATAAAGAAAGATTGCTTATTTTTTCCGTCCCTGAAAAGTTGTATCACTGCATTGTTTAAACTCTCATTTAAGCAAAATTACTTTCAATAAGCATTACAGATTCAACATGGAGGATATATGAATGTTAGATCCTGTCCTGCAATCCAGGCAAAGGAAGTAAAGCTGGTGAGTAGATCTCTTGAGTTGATTATTGCCAGAAAGCTACTGAAACAGGTAACAATTTGCTGCATTGTTAAAAAAAAAACAGCTTTTGACTCTACTGGACAAATTGCAACTAGAATTTGCTCAAACTAATTTCTCCTCAGATATGAGACGGACTTAAAGTGCCATATACCGTGTCATGAACAGGTAGATTGGTGGACATGTGTTCACACAGGCCGACCTCCTTGACCTCCGAGCCAGGCACGTTTGGATCACGACAGGAGCATGAGTAGAGGTTCAGGGTGCTGTTCTTGATCAGGTTGTTCTCAGACCAGTTTCCTGGACCAGTCCACCCACAGCACTTCATCTGGTGATACGAAACAGAGGTTGGAGATTAAATAACGAAAAAGAGATTGAGACGGAGCAGAAGGACCACAAAAGATAGGAGAGAAATGGCGATTAAAAGGACAAGATAGAGGAATAACCGGAGAAAAACACTAGCTCAATATCAAGTAAAGCATTTCTGTGTGTGTGCGCTGTTTTTAAGACCGATCTCATCTCGTCACAGAGGCCTGCTGGCAGGAAAGCGAGAAAGTGAAGGAGGAAGCAGATAATAGAGAATATGCACACTCTTGATAAGAGCATGAGACAATCTGACTCCAGCTTGCTTCAAACTTGCTTTTATTTTGTAACAGCTTGATTAGATTAATGAGTCAGCGACTTTCAAAGCACAAAAATCCTTTTCTCTCCTTTTCTCCCTCTGAGTTCGATTGTTAATAAAGTCTCAGTTTTATGTGCTGAGTGAGAAATTTAGAAATCCTTCGCCTATTACATGCAAAATTCTGTCTTTTTCTCCCACTACTACTACTTTACGTTTGCAGATTGACAACTTTTTTCAACTCTATCCACCGGTGGATTACAGTTGTGCTGTAAGTTTAGCTTCCATTGCGAGGCCCCAGCTGGTTAGAGGTTTTAATAAAGTCTACAGGGTCATCAAGACTCTGGAAAAACTGCCACACAGACTATCAGTGACATATAAAATCCTAAATCAAATGATCGGTTCAGTTCATTTTTTCTGAGCTATACACGCAGCACATATTTGGCTTCATTTCTTTCAACTTCACATCAAAATTAAACCATGTGAGAAGTTTTTTGTGTTCATGAAATCAACTGAAATTCATATTCACGCCTTTTTGTGAGATAAAAAAGCAAACAAGGCCATCCTCAAGATGAACAATATTCATACAGTAATTCTAAATTCCTGAAAAGGGTTCGAGTGGGGGGAAGAAACAACCTGTTTTTACAATTTCTGCACAAAGTGTCACAATAAAGTCCACATGATGACATTTTTTTTGTCAGGAGAAAATACTTACACTCACAGGTCACTTTATTAGGTACACCTTTTTAATTGCTTGATAACGCAAATACCTGATCAGCCAATCACATTGCAGCAACTCAATTCAATGCAATGCAATCCATTTTATTTATAAAGTACACTAATAAAAAACACTAAGGTTTCCAAAGTGCTCTACAATAAAATATACCATAATAAAGAGTCAAAAATACTACAGATAAAGGACACAATAAAACATAATAAATACAAAGACTATCCATGCATGTAGGCAAGTAGAGGGGGTCAAAATGACTTGCATCAAAGTTCAAACCGCGCATCAAAATGTTGAAGAAAGGGGATTTCAGTGACTTTGAACGTGGCATGGTTGTTGGTGCCAGACAGGCTGGTCTGAGTATTTCAGAAACTGCTGATCTACTGGGATTTTCACGAACAACCATTTCAAGGGTTTATAGAGAATGGTCGAAAATAGAGAAAAAATCCAGTGTGCAGCATTTGTGTGGACGAAAATGCCTTGTTGATGTTAGAGGTCAGAGGAGAACGGGCAGACTGGTTTGACGTGACAGAAAGGCAACAGGAAGTCAAATAACCACCCGTTTCAACTTAGATATGCAGAATACTGTCTCTGAACGCACGACATGTCAACTCTTGAAGCAGATGGACTACAGCGAGAAACAAGAAGCTGAAGAAAAAATGTTTCAGCTGACACATTCAGATGGTGGGTCAGAATTTGGCATAAACAACATAAACGCATAAATCCATCCGGTTTTATATTAACGATTCAGGCTGCTGCCGGTGCTGTGATGGTGTGGGGATATTTTCTTGGCACACTTTGGGCCCCGTAGTACCAACTGAGCACTGTTTAAACCCCACAGCCTACCTGGGTACTTATGCTGATCATGTCCATCCCTTTATGACCACAGTGTACCTATATTCTGATGTCCACTTCCAGCAGGATCATGTCACAAAGCCCATGTCACCTCAAACTGATTTCTTAAATAGGACGTGTTCACTGTACTCCAGTGGCCTCTACAGTCACCAGATCTCAATCCAGTAGAGCACCTTTAGGATGTGCTGGAATGGGAGATTTGCATCATGGATGTAAAAACATCAAAAATCTCTGAAGAATAATTCCAACACCTTGTCTGAAGACAAAAGATGGTCTAACCTGGTACTAGAAAGGTGTACCTAATAAAGTGGCTGTTCAGTGTATTTTGTAGTGAACATGATAAGCAAGGACTGCTTTGACCACACGGGGTGCAAACATTTTCAAAAAGTGAAACTATCATAATATTGATATGAGGGAGGAATGTATGAATGAGTGAGCTCGAGGAGCTAAATGTTGAAGAGTCATAAAGTCATATCTTACTATACCATTCATGAATATCTGTGATATGCTGCTCAGATATGGATCATGTCGGTTTAAAACAGTTGATTTAAGTCAAACTTGTTTTTGATAAAGAGACCTTTTTTATTTAGTTAAATACAATGATGTAAAAATATTTTTGTAGGGGTATTCCAAAAGATGTGCATAAGCCTCCTGTTTCTGGAAAGCTTTATTATTCCTGTCACTTTTCTGACCCTGTCAACACAGCTGCAGACTTCTGTCAGCCAATGAAAAGAAAATGTGTGTAGAGTTTGAGGTCTTTGAACTTTACACCAGAGACACCCACCCTAAAAATAGACACACTGACACGGCAGTGAGAGTGACTTTGGATAACAGCGAGCAGCAGTAACCTGCTGCTGTCTGTGTGCTGTATGTTTGTTTTCTACTCTGATGGCAATGTTCCTTTATTACAAGAGACAACATTTATGCACAGTTGTTTTCAGTTAAGACAGGTTATATTACACGTCTGTGTGTCTCCACTCACCGTTCTCTGAATGTAGTCCCAGGTGTGCTCTGTGGTTCTGTTCTCGCCGGTGTAGTTGATTATCATGCCCTTTATGATGTTGGACATCTCATATTTCAACTGTAAGAGACAAAGAGGACATGATCAACAGAGCAAGCTTTCATGCGTGACACTGGTGTTGATTTCTCGTTTACATGTGGAAACAGCTGATAGAAATACCGCCGGTAGCTTTGCATATTTTCTGAGAAGGTGTATGTTTGTTTCCAATCTAAAAATAAGTTAATAGCCTGTCTTTATGGAAATCAATCTATGTTGCTGGGTAGAGATAAAACAAACATACACCCTGCCTCACTAAGCCTTTGTCTAGTTTACACTCACCATCTGAACTTCATGTTTAGAGGATTTATTTCAGAAGGGAACACTTGAGGTGGTAGTGGCCTTTGAGGTCTCAGCAGGCTTTGCTAAAACACTGTACAAATACAGGCTAACAGCAGCATGTCTCTGTGTTTATATGTATAATGACCACAGAGCTGCCGCTGCTGCAGCGATGCATCTTGAGAGCTGCCCAGGAGATGAATGAGAGCCTCACCCTATTCTGGGAAAGGGCACCACCCTGCTCTGTGGTGAGCCTTAAACACAGGGAGCACGTCTACAAGCTGCAGAGTACATACACATGCACAGAGGCACATCAAAAACACACATGAGCACACGTACAAAATGCTGCAGGGCTAACTGTTAAAAGGGCAACAACAGCCTCCACCTATCCTGAGTCCTTCAGATGTGATATTATCAAGGGAACAGGTTTCATTATTCTCCAGGAGGGTACAAATATGTTCAGAGTATCAAACCGGTCCTAGAGGTTGATGAGTCCAAACACAACAATCCTGCTCCATGAACACACAGAAAGATCTTTTAGTTTGTGACAGAATAACGCTTATGTCTAGTCCTGTTACATAAGAAGTTGTCTTTTCACACAAAAACCTCAAAAAGTGAAATGCATCACCCACTCTGAGTATTCGCCATGGAAACAGTGAAAAAGGCAGTTATTTCAGCTTGCTATCAACCACCTTGTCCGACACCTACCCCCTCACAGAAATTACAGGCATCAACTGAAAAATATGACGGTTTTATTTGCATTTAAATGCCATAAAGAGGCGTCCATTTTAGCCTGTTTCTCCACTTATTCAAAACTCTCTCACTGTGCCTTTAATAAAGTGTGTCCACTGATTCAATCCCATATTTAATAAAGAAAAACAGATTCATTTGACTCTGACTCAGATTTGTTTGAATTGAATATTCCTGTTTGACCTCTAAATCCGCTCTTTGTTAGTTATAAACCTGTCAACTCTTCTCTGGATTTTAAACTTCATATTTGGGTCAGAAAGAGTTGAAAAAGGTCAATTAAGTGTTTCAAAAGCGATCTTGTGACGCCCTCAGATCTCAAAATCTGCCAGTTGTTTTGGCTCTGGTAAAAAGATGTTCTGATCCGATAATTTAGTTTTTAAACTTTTATGTAGTAAAAAAAATTAGGGGAGTTTTTTGTGACACAGTTTTGACCCAAAGTTCAGTTTACATAAAATATTAAAATTCAGCTTGTCTCCAAGAAGTTATGAAATGTTTTTTTTAAGACCAGTTCAACTAGTTCTCTGCCCAAACTTTACTGTGACTGACTCAAGTTCACCTCGAGGCCTTTTTTATTTTCCCTTCTGTCTGTCTGTCTCATGTATTACTTAGATTATTACTTACAGCAGTATTTTCTCTCTGAACTCAGAGTGAAGACAAAAACATTGAAAAGTCAACTCTGCTAAGCTCGAGCTCCTGCCTGTAGGGGGCACTGTTTCATCAGAGACTTCAGAAGGAAATGTTTTCTGTCCCCTTGGTGATAACTACTGTCTTAGTTAGTAAAGTGTGACACTTAAGATTCTGTTCGACGGCAGCTCTAGCAACACTTATTCACCACATATTGGTTTTCTCTCTCCTTCAAACACACAGAAACCAAAATCACCCACAGGAGGAACTGAGACAAAGATGGAAGTGTCAGTTTATGGGCCTGTTTTCATCTTCCTTTTTTGTGGTCACACATCCCTTTAAGTCCAACTGTTTTACATCTATTTTTTTTTGTACTAGTATCTAACGTCATATGCCATCACTCAAAAACCAACACCTTGTCACTCTCCATTTGTTTAGATGTGCTAACCACAAAATGCAAGGGGGGCTCCCTCACAAGTACAGCGTAATGCGGCCGGGCACAGTCGAAGGGGTGTAAACGGGAAGCACAAAAACAAGAGTGCTTCAGGTGTACTAGTGAGAAGATGGGTGATGTGATAAAAGGGATGTAACAAGGAGGGGTGAACAGGTGTAAGCAGAATAAATCAGGACAGAAAGTAAAAAGGGGAAAACTAAGAATAAAAGTACACATGTTGGTGTTAAAAAAAGAAAATGAGAAGCAAAACTAAACAAGTTGAAGCGAGAAGGAGAAAGTCTGTGTCTTACTCGATCTCTCTGGAAGTAAATGAGAACTCCAGCGGTGACCTGGGCGATGAGGATGAGCAGCAGGCATGTGAAGTACTGTGGAAGATAAAGAAAATTATCACTGTGATGAAATAGTGATCAAATTCAATCATTGGTGAAAGGTGATCAATTTTTTCTCAGAGTACTGTCAGTATTAGAGTGTTTTAATTATAAAACAGCTTGGATTGTGTGTGTGAACAATTAAACAAAGAGAATTATTTAATGTGAGGCACACGGCTGTTTTAGTTTATTCTCACTGAGTCATTTTCATTTGCGTCAGGCAGCTGTAAGTTTGGGTCTTTGATCCTCATAAAATGTGAGTTTTTTCAGATCCTTCCAGCCTCGTGGATGTGCAGTAGGCATCAGAGTAAGGTATTGTGTGTGTGTGAGACTGGGGGTGGGGTGGGGGTTCCTCTGCCAGCTGGTCACTGTCTTGGGGAGAAGTAGGTCACAGCAGCTCTTCAGTTAACCCGACGCAGGGTTAACACTGTAGAGGTCATGAGCCTGTTCCCACTCTTGTTGTAGCCCCTACATATCAGTGTCTTTATCCTCGTTACACCCCTCTTACCAGCCCCCCTCCCCGCTCTGCAAATCCACTCATGCTGCGAGCCCTTCTTTGACACATAAGCAGAAATAAGAAAGGGCTCTGCCGTCCGGAAGAATCTGTCACAGATGCTTATCATTGAATCTCAGAGAATTCTGGAGAATGTTTTAAGACAAAGATAATCATAACATTTTTGTAGCTCTAATTGCTGCAAAAATGAGCGACACTCAAGCAAACAGATTTTATCTTAACACGTTTTTGCTTTTTTTTTTTTTTTTTGAAGAGACTAAAGCCTCTTTATTTTCTGTGTCATCTGACAGATGGTGGTCAGATGTTAGATCAAACATGAGGTTTTACTTGCTAATTTGGCTTTTAAAGGGCTTATCAAACAGTCGGTTAGAGCCAGTTAACCCCATGTGTGCTTCTCAAAGCCAAACCAGAATATTTTAGCACTCTGAATTAAAGCTCCTGTGAGGAACTTTTAGTTTGTGTCAGCTTTGGCGCCCCCTATGATCAGAGTGGTTGTTGCTTATTTTGCCTTTTAAAAAAATTCATCTAATAGCTTTTCAAATATATAATTTAATGTTAATTAGGGGTGGGAGAAAAAAATCGATTCACATTAGTATTGCGATTTTTTTGTTTTACAATTTTTAAATCAATTTTAATGTTCAAAAATAGATTTTTTTTTTCAAATTTAAGAATAAATCTTAAAAACTGACTTGCATGTTCTGTGTATTTTTGGGGGAAATATGGTTCCTGGAATAGTCAGTAGACAATCATAATCATTCAACTGTTTCACTGGTGTTAATAATGCAGACTAAAGATCAAGAAAATTGACAATATCGTAGAATTACAATTTTAATCGAATTGGCATCTAAAAAATCGTAGAAGAATCGAATTGGGAGAAAAGTATATCATCCCAGCCCTACTGTTAATACTTTATGTAGACACAGTAAAGACAAAGTTTTTCTTGAGCTGTTTGGCTGACACCTTATACTGTTTTCAAGCATTTAAAAAAAAATCACGCTATGCAAAATTGTCTTTTTTAGCCCCAGGTGGTCTTGTTTGCTTTTGGATATCAAGAAAATTCATCAATACAATTTTCTGTCTTTTTCATAACTATTAAGAAACTCTTCATGGTAGCTCTAAAGTGGATGTAACTGCTTACCAGACCCAGCAGACAGCGGATTTCATAAATGGCTCCTATGCAGCCGAAGAAGCCCATGGCCATCGACAGAGAGCCCACTCCGATGAGGATGTAGGAAGCCACTTTCACTGTGTCTGATGATTCCTCTGGAGACAACAGATGTAAAAAGACATACAAAATACAGTCAGGACTCATTGGACTTATTGTGGTGTGTTTTGGGTGGTTGAACTCGAGTCAGGACAGAAATAACTTAGAACGCAAAATGAAGCGGCACACAGGATTTTTGTAATGGAGTAACAGGAGCAGGGCCCTGGTCTCTGCTCGTTTGTCTTCTCTAACCACAGTGAGTATGCCTGCAAACAAAGGCGGCTCAGAGGACAACCTCCTTCATACGCTTCACCATTTTCTTACAGATCAACTCAGAAAACCAAAAAATGATTCACAGTTCCCTCTGAATACAATCTGGTGCTTTTCTTCCCACAAAAGATTATTTTTTAATAGGCCACCAGAGAGTGGGACCAAGACAAGTGAATGTGCAGAGAGATTAATTGATTTCCCTCTTGAGTATGTGGAAAGAAAGCGCTCCAGCAGCAGCAGCAGGAGGAGGAGATGAAGCAGGAGGCAGGGACTGAAATGGAAGATTGGAAGGCTGGAGTGAAGATAAACTGGAGCCATTATGTGGCGGAGGTATCTGGGTTGGAGGCAGAGAGTCAGAGCTTGGTCTGCAGATGAAGCCAGAAGCTGAGCTCTGTGAAATGGCTCCAACTCTTCAAGATTCCTGGGCCGAGCACAAAGCAGCCGGAGCTATCAGATAACTCCCTCCCATCCAGACTGTGAGGAGAACCAGCAGCTCTTCCACTGCTGCTGATGATAATAATGCAACGCTGCTTCTTGGCCTGCTAACCAAAGAACTAATTAGGGGTGCTGTCATTTCAAATCGCCCATTATAGTAGCCACTGATGCTTCATACAGCAATTACCATATGTGGTGAACACTCAGCCAAATGCACAATGAATTAGGGCTGGGCGATACGGCCTCAAATCAACATAATATACTGAGCAGTTCACCTTGATAGTGATAAATGGACGATAACTACTCCACAAGCTGCTCACCCCCTCCCATATTAACTTTGTCTACTTTGTTACGGACTGGATGGGGTGGAGTCCCGTCTCCAGGGTCTTAAAGGGACATGACACCAAAGCCTATCTACACACGTACAAAACTAACTTTTATTTAATTATTTTTTGACACACACACACACACACACACACACACACACACACACACACACACACACACACATATATATATATATATATATGTGTATATTGACCAGGGCAAAAAGATGTCAGTTATTGTCGTATATTTTGGTATCTGTAAATTTTTGGTTTATCGCCCAGCCCTACAATGAATATTCATATCACATGGTGTTTCCAAATTCAACTTCAGAATGTAAAACTCCATTACACACTGAAGTGAAGTTGCTGGTTGCTATTTAAAATATTTCCTTATATAGCATCACCTTACTTTGCAGACCTCCTTATTCTCCTCGTGATAAAACACACACACTTACTATCACAGGATGCAGGCTCTTTCATCATCCCCAAGATAAATAGAACAATGTGTGTGGGGGGAGCAGAGTGTTTTTCCTACAATGCCCCAGTTCTTTAGAGTAAACCATAACACACAAACACACACAAACAGGATGTACAAGATTAAAATCTAGACTGAAAACCTTCTTACAAATCATTAGATCGTGTGTATATTTACTTTCTAATTGCACCATTGCCAGTGACTTTGCTGCTTTTCTATTTCATAGAACAGGAAACTGAACAACTTCTGGTTATGGACCACAAGTCTAATACCAGAAGATTTACATACACCACTTTCTGAAAATTGCAGTTGGTTTACTTCAACCAAGTGTACTCAGTCACTATAGACACCAAACCCACACACACACTTGTACAAAGACGTCATTACATGCGTGTCCATGGCTGACTCTACATGTGTGCGTTACCAGAGCAGCGCATGTTGTGGCGGTTTGACAATGATTAAAAGCTTAGAAGTACTTTGGTCAACATATGCTGAGTGTTTATGTGGCTGCAAGGTAGCATTTAAAGAGAGAAAGACGAGTGTACTGTATGTCCTAAATCTGGCACTGTTATTTCAGTCTGCCTCACATACACACACATACAGTACACGCTCATTTACAAGCAACAGATGTCTGTCTGCAGGCTCCTCAAACAACAGGAGTTATCTTCAAGATCTGTGAACAGTTGTGACATCGTTAAAACCATGTCTGCACAAACAAAAAATGACATCTTTCACACAAAGCATGCACCAAACTGTGAAATAGTATCACGGATCACCATCAAGACAAAGGGACAGCAGTGACGCAAGTGTGCGTGCTTCACTGAGATTGCATGCAACATCTCTCTGCTGCATACCATGATTTCCTTACAAACAACAAGACTTTTCGCTGAGTGCAGTAAAACAATATGACTGTACTTGTGTTAACCTAAATCACATGAAAGAGTTACTGGACTTTTGGGAGAGTTTTTATGATCATTACATGTAGAAAAGACAGTGGATTAAATGTTTGTTGGGGGTTTCCATGCAGCCCACTGGTTAAAGTTGTTCCAGTGACAAAACACACCCTGGTGTTTAAGGTTGTATAAGTGCTGCGTGACGTTTCCTCGAACAGTTTCCGCTGAACCCACGTCCAGCGCTCGATGTTTCATAGTTTTCGGCCTTCTACTCTACACAACCAAACTTAAATCAAAATTAAAAATCTAAAATGGTTTATCCCCTCAGACCCTCCACCAGGTGTAATAGAGATGTGCTCTACATCTGCACTACTACATGGCATCTGTGGCCTGTGGTTTCTCACTAACATTTTCTTTTTTCTGCTGTCAGCATGTGTTCGCTCGGTTTCTGTACCGTTCTGCAGTGCATGTAGGTCTCTGCAAGATGTTTGAAAATAGTTCCTCCTGTGGTTTCCATGGAACTTTCCGTTGAAAAAGGCAAGAATTAGAGTGCACTTTCAGAGAGCTGCCGAAGAAGGAGGAGGGACTATTTGGTCGCACAGGTCCCTAGTCTGTAAACATGAGCACAGCCACATGTTTGTCTTGTATACAACTGGAGAAAACAGACATAGGTAAAGATTTGAAATGTTTACATGAAAATAACTTTTTTTGTCATCTTTTTTTATGTTATAGCTGCCGAACCAGAATTTATTTTCTCTGTTCGTGACTTTGGAAAGTTTCTGGATCACTCTGCTTCTGGTTCACAGACCTCCTTCCAAGGCTTACTTTTGTTTAAACATAAGGCAAGCTGTGAAGGATAAACTCAAGGCATCATGTCCCTGAGCTAACATTTAACAGCACTGTATTGTTACAGAGAGTGTTCATTGACGGGAAGATAGGATTCGAAACCCAAACACTCTAAAAACTAACCCCTGCCTGAAGTCTTTGGGACATCTGCAGCGGCCTCTATTAATACAACTCATAAAGAATGGAAACTGAAAACACACAGATCCTGTTTATAATCAAGCGCTGGTACAACTTCTGAGGGGAACACACAGAGTCAATAAACAGCAGGTCCCTGCAGCTTTGGTTTTTGTTCTTCTTCTTCAGGGGTGTTGAAGGTTATAAATCTAGCTCAAGGCATGGCTGACCCATTCTGGGTACATGGAACAAAAATACACGGAGGAGAGAAAAGGTCATCAAGCCCTATAGAGGAAGGGATATCCTCAGGGTATCAGTGGAGCAGGATCTCTACTATCTCTGGAGGAACAGCTGGATTATCATAACAATGGGAGCTGCAGGGATGATGGATTCTGTACTGCATTTATGTTTTGGAGATAAGCAAAACCTGCTCGAAATTAACCTTGTGGTGATTCCTCCTCCAGCAGCGAGTGACCTCCAGAGCTGATATATGAGCCGGAGGAAGAAAAGACTTAGCTGAACTAGTTAAGGGGCACAAGGTCAGATGTGGATGGTGTTTGTCACAGACGTAGCCTTTTCGTAAGTCATTCGTCAAAGCAGTACACAGCTCCAGCCCAAATATAGATTCCTGGAGTTCATCCAAACCCCAACAGACTGGCTTTTTTTTTTCAGCACAAAACTTTTAGCCACAGACCCCTAACTTGAGCTCAAAATTAGACTAATTTAGACTTCTCAACATGGAATGATCTGCAAATTTATTTAGTGTATTGGTTCAAAAATAAGAAAGCACTGATAACAGAAAGATCCAAACTTTAAGCATATTTTTTTCAGAATTATATTAAAACTAAATTAAAATGTTATCACGTGTATAAATGAAGGACTTGTAGTCTGTTAAAAAACCACCATTATGTGGCTTCTACAGCTGGGTCACAGCTCTGGTTGAGGGCGTACCTCCATCCTGTTTTTCAGAAACACACTCACACACTCTCTTTCCACGATACTGGACTGCAGTAAGATTTTCTCTCTCTATGATCATTTTAAACTTTCTATTTGTGATTTTAATCTTCAGGCTTTAGACTCTGTTACATCCTATTTCAGCTCAGTGAGAGTCAATGTCACTTATCAATCAAATAAAAACAGAAAAAGTTGATTCTTCTCTGTTTTTATGACATCAGTAACCCTCAAAGTTTATTTATTTTTCCTTCTGTTATCTTAAGCTCATCCTCTTCAGGGAGGGAGAATCAGGGTTGCAGTGAAAAAAACACAATCTTTGACTTCCAACACATGTGATAAATTTCCAGATAATAACTTGAAACTGTTTTCTCTTTGCAGGCTGACTCCAGAGGAAAACTCCAACTTCTGCTTTCAGCAACGCTCCATCTGGGATGAATACACTGAAAGCTTTTATAACAAGATTTATGGCAACTAAGAATTTCCACCCATGGTTCACTGTTCTGTTCAGGCCAGACCGGGACTGGGTTTCATTATCATTTCTCGAGTGTCTGTGCATTAGATAACCTGGCTTAGACATGGTGTTTGCTGTGACATCTCTCTGCTGATAACTGCGCCTCTCGGGAGAATGCCAGTTGGAGGGTTGGTTTCTTTTTCACTACGTAGTGTCTGAAAAGATCGGCTGCAACATCTGTTCCGGTCTGAGATTCTATCGTCTGCCATCTGGGGAGTTCAAAGTACAGCTCTGTGGAAACTGAGTGGGAAATAAAGCTGCAATTTTTCCAACACAAAATAAAACAACTTTAGCCTCCTTAACAGTCATGAGAATATAAATCTGGGGTGCTAACCTTCTGCCCTAAATGTCCACAAATGTGTCTATCAGTATTTGTCTGAATGAATGTGGCTTTTTAATGGCTGAGGAAGTGAAGTTTTCTGTGGGTCACATGTTCGTTTCAGTGTGAACATCCTTTTGAGGTTTCTCTGGAATGAAAAAGTCCACAGAAACCATGCAGAGGAGGCCAGAAGTTTCATTCCAATCTGTGTCTCTTATTTCCACTCCACTCAGACCAGCTGAACCGGCCAAAACGCTGTATGTTTGTTGACGTCAGCGTTATCACCAAGGACAGCGCAGAGGGATTGTGGGTATGTGTTTGCACGAGTGTTGCAACACTTACGTAGAACGGCGATGAAGCTCTGGTTATCGAAGAGGACCCACAGGCCAAAGCCCATGATCAACGCTCCGAAGATCTACAAGAGGTGAGCAGAAAAGAAAAATGAACAATGAGTGAAACAAAAAATCCACAGAGGGTTTTCTCTTTGCTCCTTCAGAGTGTCACATCTGGGATTAATCAGCTTTAAACTCTTCTGCTTGTCTCCTCTCTCTCTGATATAAGCAGATGGAAAGAAGATGTGAAGAGAAACTTCAGACCAACTCAGTTAGACGAATCTATTCACAGATTTATCAGTCATCCTCCTTCAAACGGCAACGTGAGAATAGTGAGATAAGGAAAACTGGATCAAAGCAGTTAGTAATGAGAGTAGTGATGTCTAAAAGGGGACACTGTGTTCATCGCATCAGAAACGCTCTCAAACTGATCAGCTGATGCACAAATTTATGAGGTTATGACGTGCAAAGTTTCTGTGTTCTTAAGAGAGCCGTTGTTTAGAAGTCGCACGGCACCACAGTGGTGAGGGCAAAAATCAGCAGATGGGAGGCTCTTTTACCAGTTTCCCCCCTGGGACTGCTACACCTCCTCAACCTCACAACAGTCATTAAAGTTCTGGTTCAAGAGCTGTTCATTTTAAGGGACTGTTCTGCTCCCAGCAGCCATTATTAGCCCACCACTTCCTGGCGTCCCCCCCAGCGTTAGCTACAGTCTAATCTGTCCACACGGACAAACACACAGACACACACACACACGTTTCCGATTAGACACCAGTTGAGTGTTCACATCAAAAGGTCTGCGTCAGGTTTACAGCCCTGGTCTCATTGGAAAGGTCTGGACATCCTTGCAGAGTCAGTTTTAAGAGTCTGGGGATAATATCAAGCCCTGGACTTTATGTCGAGGATGGTGTGAGAGAGGAGGAAATGAGCAGACACCATCTGCTGATGTTTAGACCTGGCTGTGCTGAGATACTCTGTAAAGTCTGTCACCCCCGGCAGAGTTAGGGAACATTTCCATATCTGCACTCATCTCTGGTGTTATTTGCTTGGATAAAAACTGCTGCTGAAAGGCATCAGACAGCTTTCAATGAGCCACAAGTGTCCGATTCTGCTGAGGGAGCATAGCTTACCTATCTTTGTATCTGAGGTAAACAGAGACGCTGACAAAGTAGATCTCACACATCCACTGACCTTAACTATTGATTAAAAGATGTGATACTTACAAAGAAAAGGAGGTTGAAGAGGAATAGAAAGTACTTGGTGACTGTGATGCATCCTTTCCCCATGGCTGAGCCTCTGGAAGACAGCAGTAAACACATTTTATTGGTTACAGTGAGCACTGGATGGCACTATCAAAATAAAGTCTGGGTGTTCAAGATAAAAAGAGAAAACAGACACAAGAAAGAGAAAAGATGTTTACAAGAAAAAGAAGCAGCCAGCCTTGACTCAACCTCGTTGTTGTGATATTATAAAAGTCAAAACCACAGACCAAGGACAGGGGGAAATCTGCATAGTTGGGTTCCTGATTGAACACAACTTTTAATCTTCAAAGCAGCAACTTCTGCCCGACTCCTTTTTCAAGAGCCACTTTTCTACAGTTTTAAACAGCCCAATCTGCTCTAATCCCCGGTTTATGAGACTCCAATTGGCCTGTTTTCTTTAAATGTTAGGTTTTATGATGGAGCTGTATGCTTTTAAGAGTGATGTCTGTTAACAAATCATATAGCCTTAGAATGGGAACCACCCTGGAGACACAGATTTAAGGGAAGACCACCACAAGGAGCGGAGTGGTGAGATCATGATGGCTGCGTGGAGAGACCATGACAGTATGAGGTTAGGTATGCTATTGTTATCCCAAACAGAGGGGAACTAGGCCGGTCTAAAAGTGTGTTTACTGGCAGTTACAAGCTTGGTTACTGACTGTATTTATTTTCAAACAATTTCACCAAGAGTGGGCAATTTAAAACCACAAATACAAGTATAAATGTTCTGCATCAGACTCTTAAAGCAAGCTGAGAACAGTAACCATCTAATATTAGAGTTCAGGCATGTTTCACACACATCTGCATTGTTTTATGACCACTTCTAAATCATTTATGGTTGTGCTTCTCATGCACACAGATGTACATATCACTACATAATCTAGCATACATATGCCTGCAGTCAGCAGTGTTTCTATGAGTAACATTTTCCTCTGAGGAAACACCTGTAGGCCAGCGCAGCAGCACACTTACAGTGCAGTAGGGACACTCTCTAGCAGCATGAATCAGCCCAGGCTCCTACAGTCCAAAGAAAATATTTACCACATCCAGACCTTTTTCCTTCACTGGGAGCGCTGAAAATACAACCAGCCATTGTGGTTATTTGAGGAGTCTGAAAATATCCTACGAAGACAACTCCCCTTGTATCAGATGACAAACTGTTCTCTTCTGTCTGTCTGTTTTACACTGAAACTGTAGGTTCAACTCTGGGCCTATAATCTTGTGTATTTTGTTCTATTTTTAACATTGCAAAATTCCTCTTTGAGCAAAACCAACAACCTTGTGTTTACTGTGTACTGCCACCCACCAAACAAAACGAACCAACTACAATCTTAAGAGGAAGCTAAATATTGTGGCAATGACAATGAATATGTTATGGCCAGGAAGTGCTGACTTTGAAGGTAAAATGTTCTATTACGCAAGCCACACTTTTCTAAATAGATTAAATACAATATAAGTTGTGTAGTTTTTGACTTGCATAGGAAACACACTCAAATAACTCGCACACAAATATCTCTGTTACATCTGGCCACTAAACACTTGTCTTTTCCCTGGTGTGTCACGCAAGATCAAAGCAAGACAATAATGATCAAGTCATCGCTCTACAGTGAACACATTAACAACATAATGAAATGAAAATAAGCTTAAATTAATTCTGAAGCAGCAGAAACAAGTCTGCGTGATAGTGTTTATTTGCCAATTTCTGAAACAGACTTACATAAATAATTTCTTTCCAGAGAATGTAATCTCAAGATTAGGGCTGATAAAAGATGGCTATGATTAATAAAGCTCTAACCAATTTGAAGATACTGATAGCTTAAATGCCAAAACAATATCATGTTTACAAATCTGGACTCAGTGCAAAGCACAAAACACACACTAGATACCCTGCAAAGCATTTAATCCGTAAAGGAGATTGGTGGTCTTTCTGTCTAGATACTGAACAGCAGTGAAGATTAAAAAAGGCTCAGTTATGAAAACCATTGTTTGTTGACTGAGCCTGGTCCATCTGAACACAATATTCAACAATGAAGCAGTGTTACTACTTATTATATCCTCCAAACAACAAATTAAGCAGACAAACAGATCCGGCCAAAATTATTCTGAAGCAGACAGCTGAATATTGAGGTTAGCAGCAGCAAAGCCAAACAAGACCATGAATAAACTTGGCTTCTCTTTAGCTGGCAAGTGCACGCTTTTTTTCCCTTTACATTTGCTTAACATATCTAGACAAACCCGATCACACTAGACTCTCTGACAGAAGATGACAAATCTTTTCCTCAGTAAAAACCCAGGGTCCAGAATATGCACTGGAAATTAAAAGCAGAGCCAAACAGAGATTCCAAGTAGCAGCACCATAAAAGATTTTCAAGCAGCTAGTGTACATAATGCTGCAGACACGAGGAGAATATGTAGTTTAACTGAAGTAGGACAGCAGGAAACGAGAAAACACAGGCTTATAGCGCAAAAAAAACATCAGTAGTAAAGAAATGATTTAAGAGAGCTTCAAATGGGCCACTTGAGAGTTCAAATCCAATGACCTCATGCAGCAAGTTTTTCCCCTCATACTTTGAGTTTTCCTTCCTATAGTTTGCCGTGAAACTAAATCAGATTTCGTGAAACAGTGTGTGAGGTCTAGTGAAGGTGTTAAGTTGAGATTATGTTTTTTGTTTATCATGCTGAGGGCCATTACACTACAGATTCATGGGGTGCAGACATGATTATGAAAACAGCATTAGGGGCAGATGGCATTGACACTGTTGGTAATGGACCTGGCATGGATCAGCTAAAGCCTTGTGTGGTACACAAAGTCAGGCGACGTGCCAACATCCATCTCCCACCACCTCCCATTATAATCATACATGACCCATTTACACATCTGTGAGGCTATCATGCTGGCATGAACCTGCCTGCACCACCATGGTACTAAAGCCCTTAATACTGGGCCAGAATCCTGCTCTGACATCTGCAGCTATGTGGGTTATCCCTCTGGCTTACTGTCTACTGTGACCAAACTTCAATGAAAAAAAAAGGTTTGAATGAGGTGAAACTACTATCCCAATCATGTTTCAAGAGGTAGTGATTAACATGAATGTGATATCCATAATTTGTTTCCTCATCTGGATGTACAAAATCTGGACAATGTTTCAAGAAGTAATTTGCTTTCATTTGTAACGCTCATTACATTTGGTTCCAAGAAGGGAATTTCCCATTGAGTGTATGACATAAAGCGGTATCTTCCCTCAATTACATAGCAATAATGTGGCATCAGCTATGGCAACATAACTAATCTGAGGAGAACTTGTTTTTATCTAATACTACACCAATAATTATGTAGGATATCCAGTCTATGAGAAAAGATTGGAATAGCAACTCAGAGATATAGGAGCTAAATGACTTAAATGTGCTTTTTTATTCAGACCGACTAAAACAGAAAGCAAAAGTAATTGTTAACTGACAGAACCAAAAGATGATGAAGCTATGGTGATCTTATAAAAACATGAGCTCCAGCAACAGGGACTTTTCCAGCTTGTATAAATCACTGAAAAAAAAACTAAGTTTCCATCACAACCAAACAGGCTACTTCCTTTACAGCACTGGTCCACTCACTTCTAATGCTTTTCACATACTTTTGAGACAGATAGCAGAATGATAGAAAGATAGATTGGAAAATGTTGCTACAAAGCTAGGACACACACACAACTTACTCTTTAAATGTACACTTTACAACATTTTCATCAAAAATAATGAATCTGTAGAATGAGTGTTATGTAAGTGTAATGTCTGTGAGTACATGTCTAAGTTCAAAATGAAAATGGAGAAGAAGATAAGGACCCCAGGAAGAGTAGTTACCGCATATTCTGTTGTAGCTAATGGTGGATCCAAAATAGAACAAAACAAAGATGATGGTTAGTGTGTATGCACAAATATGGATATATGCGTGTGAACTACAATATTGCTTCATAGCTCAGCTCCCACACTGTGGTAACGGGATGTTGCTTATAGCGTCCAGTTCTGTCATACAATAGAAGTGCCTCCTTTTACCTATAACCCACACTTCACATCCTTTGTGCACATACTAGGCCTTAGAGAAATATCTTACAGAGCCATCTCCAACATCTCCAACACCTTCAACCATGAATTGACCACTGACAGGGAGAAGTTGCACAAATCCAGGGCTGAACTACAAAAACGGAAGACTCCATCACTTACAGAAAACAGATAAGAGAGGTTGAAACCCCAAACCAGAGAAGACAATGTCACATTTGAAGGCAACTACTGAAGTTACACCGACATTATCAGAACTGTACACGTTACACTCGTGCTTAAATGGGTTACGTTCCGCGCGAGGAGGTCAGACGTTACCAGGCTAACTGCCACTTCGTTTGGTCCTTTCTTTCCTTCACTTGTCACTAATGAATTATTTAACTTCAAACTACCTCATGTAATACTTTTAATAAACAATTTAGTCAACTAAATCCGTGTCCTCGACAAACTCCAGCGACTCATCACTTTTCTGTTCGATTAATAGTTTCTGAATTTGTCAGTTTGTTATATTAACATTAGCTTTAAACAGGCGTATCCGGCTATCTGTTGTCACATACTACTCAATTCTCCGGTTACTTACGAATCTATAGGCATTAAAGGCTTTTCTGGAGCTACACATAAAGTTTGAGTTCAGGTAGATGGCGGCCAACTTAGGACGATAACGTTACATATTCTGCTTATGCTAATCTTGTTTCAATGCTAGCTAACTGTAAACTCGAAGACAACACGTTCAAACTTACTTTTATCACTTCTCCGATGGTGGTTGCTGGTGTTTCGGTAATATGCCGTCTTCTGTCCTGCTTGCTGTGTGACCAGACTGTGTCTATGGAGGAACGAGGTCTGTGTCTCTCTGCATGAGTGTGTGGGGCGAAGTGTTCACACCCCTACCATACAACAGACACGCTTACTTATTTTTAACCCTCTCCTGTCCTGTCGTCTGTGGCCTCAGAGGGGTGTTTTCTCAGTTAAAAATATCAGTTGTTTTGCCAAAATGGTAAGCTGTTAATAGAGTTGTCCTCAATTTGTGTAAAACAGGACAATCTGATACCAAAAATAGTCATATAAGACTCGAACTATCTTGTTTTTTGATCAGTTTATGGTAAAGCGATTGTTCATTTAACCACATCAGTCCAAGCTGTAGAAATAGAAGTTTTACACAACTTCAGCCATGCCACTATTCAGTGTGACTTCGCTTTTATACAACACTTAACAACACAAAACAGCAGATCATTTTATAATACCAGATAGTCAGCAAGAAACTGTTTTATTTACACAGTCAACTTTGTGTACTTTCTGTATGTCTTCACTTTTCTGTTTACAGTTGTTTTTAATGGCCCATGTGGTACCAGACTGAGACTGTTTATTTTGTCAGTTAATGTTACTCACAGCCCCAAAACCTAACCGGAACAACTGGTTGGAGCACACAGTTGATATAAAATAGCTTAGCTCATTAAATCAGATTATCCTCAGTTACATCTTCGGTTACAAGACAGGACCAAGGCTAGTTTTAGACAGACATAGCCTTAGGTATCTTGTATAGTACTGGTCATACAGTGGGGATAATCAACTGGATAAATATTGTATAAATTCTGATCACAAACTGACAAAATGATGTAGATCTCCTGTTAAATGATCCTGTGTTATGTTTACCAGTACGTCTTGACACATAAACCAGAGCTCAGTGTATTAAGTGGAAAGTATGAGGAGAATGCGTAAACAGTGACACATGGGAGCTTTTTGCCTTTAAACAACCCCAACCACACACAGTTTTCCGGTGCCGCACAGTCCCCCCTTTCTACCTTCTTGCGATGTGTGAGAGCACTGGGGGTGGTAAAAGCTAGGCATGAATATGAGGGAGACTAAACCAGTAAGGTCCATTTCAACTTACAGGAAACAATGTCTCAGAAAACCCGAGTCTCTTCATGTTTTGACATGCTAAACAACCCTCAAACAGAAAACACCAAACAAAGTTTACATGACATAACATGCGATTATTCAGCTGTTGTTCAGACTTGTTCAGACTCAGTTGTGGATTCTATTTCAGGACATGATGTGGGTTTTTTTTTTGCACAATTTGCTCAAGGCTTCTAGCTCTTGGGGTTTCTTCAGGTAGGTAGAAGCTGCATAGGGTGAGGCTTCCCAAGCTATGTGTTTAATAATTTAATGTGTGTCTACGTAGGTGGGAAGCTGTGAACAACACTATTGCCAATGTATAAGAAGACGGTGTCCCACATTTCTCTTAAAATGGTAAGTATAATAAAATACCAGCAGGTAGTGTAACTTCATTGTGTGTGCGAGTAATATGACATCCATAAGGTAACATTACATTTTTTTTGCATTTGATGTAAAAATCTACAACAAAAAGTGCATTTACAAAACAGAAACAATTACTCAATAATTCCATGATGAAATAAATGTTTAAGCAATTCTGTATCACCACCAGAGAGTTCAACAAAATGAAGATGATGACATGACTTTTGAAGTCTTCTAAATAAACAATAGTGTCTTTTATTTCAAACTAAATTGTGGAAATCCATAAGAATCCATTTCTGAGGTACAAGATAGCACATATATATACATAAAAACACACTGCTACAACTTGAAACAGTTTGACCTTGTTTGCTATTCACAATAGTACACCTTATGTTGGGTCTGTATCAGTTGGAATGAATAGCGCAGTTTACCAAGTGACCAATGTAATGCTTTGACTCTTTACGTCAGAGAACCAGGAGGATGAAAGAGCTATTTCTTTCCTCCCTTCCTTGGCACACGTCCCCCCAAAATTTGCCCGTCTCTCCCTAAATAAGCTGCTTCAAAGACCTTTGAACATTTCATGAGGTTGATGATTTGAGGCTTGTAGTATTGACGGAAATGGAACGACATTTCTCCTCAGCTCCATAATTATGATGCGAGGCAGGACTGAGCAGTAGGTTGGGACGCACAATGTCAGTCAGGAGGGTTGCATCTAATTAAATACTAGAAAAAAAGGTAATTACAACTTTTCAGGAGTATGGGAGACCTCACCCATGTTTCACGTTCCCTATCTGTACTGAAATATCATCAGAGTTAACAAGCACATCTGCCTGCAGCACCAGACTCCCACTGCAAACCCTCAATCACTCTGACCTCAGGACCACTCCCTTCCAGGGAAGGACTCGGCGTGGTCTTTTGAAACAATATGGACCACCTTTGGAGGACACCTACAGAATGTTTCTAGTTTTGACTCAAAATGATAGTTCAGGTTAAATTTACTAAATGGGTCAACTATCTTTGGAGGGCTTTTAGGAGCTGGTGTGCAGAGATCAGATTTGAGAAGTCAGCCCTGCTGTCTGTGTGAGTGTTGGGAGGTAGAAAATGTACTAAACATATCAATTTGGTTTGGTCTGTCAAGTGTTTGATTAAAATTTGATTCAAAGCATATTGAGTATAAACTGCCCGATGAATAACACGTTCCTTTTTTGGCCTTTCACTGTATTTGGCAGTCATTGCTTTTTGTGCCCTAGTTGGTGGAAGCTACACAGTTTGAGTTTTCTCTTTAGCTGAATTATATGCATGCAAGACCTCAAAACACAAATTTTACTTAAATATGTACAAAAGGACACACCAAAAGAGAAAGATTTGAAAATCATTTAACTAATACTGAACAAGTTCCCTGTTCGCTTCACAAGAACATCGCATAATAGTAAATACTATTATTTACATATGTACAAAAGAAGTACGATGCAGTGTTCTGACTGTTCTTTTAAGTAGTTTTAAGGCAAGGCTAAGGATATGGTGTATGTAAAAAAAACAAAACAAAAAAGTGCTACATCACAGAGAGAGGAACCAGCTCAGGTTTGTTTGCTCTAGACATTAACATGCTCAGCTTGTGACACTTGCATTGCAACAAAGGTCAAAATGTTAAAAACTTTACACAAGATCCTCCAGGCTCCTGCCTTACACTGCACACAAAACAGGGACAGAACTATTCTGTTTTTTTTTTTTTTTCCCCACAAGTCAGAAAATCTGTGAATTCTTAAACATCACACGTATTAATCTCTGCAGCTTAAATACTCTGTACAAAACAAATCCCATTCACTTTGGTACAACTTCTTGACTGGTACCTCAAGGAATGAAAAAAAAAGAGAAAGAAAACAACACTTGTCCCTGAACATTGTTTGGATTCAGCATTTCTTTTTGGATAATTTAAATCTGAAAATGTCTGACGGGCATTACTTAAAGTTAAAAAAATGAAAAAAAACAAAACAAACCCTTTAGATATTTCCTTTATGTGCTGAGTTTAGCTTAACTGACTGCTCCTGAGTCTCACACTTGATGCATTTTTCAGCTCAGGGAGTTCAATGGACAGCTGTCAGAGAGTCATGCAAGAGCACAGATGTTCAGGCTTCACATAAGCATACATACAGTATGAGATAAGACTGACAGCATCAAACAGGAAACAACAAAAGCGCATAACATGGTCCTTTGATTAAGAAGAGACTATTATTAGATAACACTAGATACTGAATTTGGAAATCATGTAGCTGTACATGAAGTTACTCTGCTCTGTGCATATCAAACCATACAGCTAGATGACACCAGCACTACGGACTGCTAGTTCCTCCTTTACAATAGCGATAGCTCTCAGAACAGCACAAAGGAGGAATGTGTGTCAAGAGGGGCTTAACCTCACAGTCCAGTGAAAGGGTTATTCACTTCCACCATGAGGTTTGTCGTTCTTGTTGTAGAGTCTGGAATGTGACACTGTGCTTATCTGTTAAATACTGGAGGTTGGAATACGGTGGGACCCATGGAGAGAGGGAGGGAGGGAGGAGGGCAGGGGGCATCCGCTGGAAAAGTAACGCTCCAAACCCTGATTGATCAATATCCCAAACCTGACCCTGTGTTTATGATCTATGCTCAGCTGTCCCCTCCCTGGAAGTGTCACACGGTGGGTTCAGATCTTCTTGGGTTTACGCCCCAGGTGGTAGTAGTACGCCATGGTGACCACCAGGAAGAGCACTCGGCTGAGGAGCAGCAGCATGGCAGCATTGGGCAAGATGCCAATCTCCATGAGGGTGATGGATGTCACTGCAACCAAACAGCAACATTACATTTCATTATTTTGCATATAAGAAATACAAAGTGTTGAACTTTTATATTTTAACTCTGACAGGTTATCATTTTTTAAAACCTAGCCTACAGGAACACTCAAATGCCAATATTTGCATTGACACTGTTGGGCTCATGTAAGTAAACACAGAGGATATTTCTCTTCTTCTTGTTCTACTCAGCTTCGTGTTAGCAGGACTTGGGTATTTGTCCCCCATCTCTTGGATTAGATTTTATAAGTAGAAAAAAAAGTTAATAATGAACATCCAGAGTTAGTTTTCGAGAAACACTAAAAAAAGGAACACTCAGGCTCTTTATGGTGTGAGTCCACACTCTGAACACAAGAGGGCAGTACAGTCCAAAAAAATACAAAATAAAAATCTCTAGGAAAATCAACTCAGTAGTGTTTTTTTTTTCCTAGACTCAAAGCCATGCAGAACAAAAGGGAATGGGGGGAGAAAACACATTTAAGAGTTTAATCACCTAGAAACTGGACAGCAAAGTAGCAGGCTTCACTGAGCAGAGTCCACTGGATGATGATTTTCTCTGCTGTGTACAGACCATTCCACAGGATGAGGGCCAAGCCTGGAAAAGAGGGCATTTAAAGGTTCAGGGGCATGGGAATGAAAACAGAAACACGAGGAGGAGGCTCAGGACAGCTGACAAATACGCATTCAAGAGCAAATCTACTATCAAATCCACTATGAGAATGGTTCACTTGCAGCTGCTATCCGTGACACCATGAGCGCACAGCGATAATTGGCCTATTGATTCTGTTGAATGCACTGACTCATTGATTGTGATAAAAGCCTGTGTGCAGTCATTTCAGGCTCGTCATTTTTCCAGTTAATTTTTGCCTGAATACCACTCCGACCTCCATCAACGCACACACACAGACAGAAATGCACACACACATACATAGTAATGAAGTGATGGATGCGAGGATGGCTGGAAAGAAAGGTGGGAGGGCTGTTGGGTGACTGAGTCCTCTTCCTGCCAGGTTCCATCTGTGTGGCAGATGAGACCCCATCCTTTGCCCCATTTACTGCTGCTTGTCTTGTAAGACATCATCCTTTTTCTCAGCTATTCCCCACAGCCCTGCTGGCATTTAAAATAAAGAAGCCATCTTTTGCTGGCCTTATGAGATAGACAGCTGGTTTATTCATATCCCTCCCCACAGTGCCATGTGGTTGTACAGTATCTCTCCTCAGGCGGTGCAGTAATCGTACAGCAGGAAATGTTTTTAATGTAGCAGATTTTACATTTTCAGATTTACCATGATGTGAATACAAGCAGCGCGATGTGAGGTTTCCTTTTTTTTGTAAATATCTTGCTTTGAGGAAGGGAAACGAAAAAGACAGGAATCATTAGCGCAGGACCAAAACATATGATGATGTGTTTTCAGGGTCAGGTGGCACTAAGTAGGATCAACATTTCCATAAACCTTGGGGCACGTCTTGCTTGGTTAAATATGTGTAAAGCACAGACTGAAGTGTAGTAAACCCAATGTAAAATTGATTACTATTAGGGATAAAGCTAACAGAATTGTGAGGTATCTGAAGAAAAGAGCAATGTAAGCTGATACTTTTTCAGACAATTGTTCAAATGATGAAAAAGCCTTTTCTGTACATCAGCCTTTGAATGGTGTGATATCTGGAGGGAAAACCTTTGTGAGTCAGGGAGGTGAGGAACACAGGGGTAGCTGCAATCAAAGCCGACACAGAAAGGGACTGTAAACCTCAGTGCTGCCTAAACCGGTTCCAGACTCTGAGTGTTGATTTAACAATAATGTCTTTACAGAAGGGAGAGGCAGAAAAGCTCAAAGGAGTAAATACTAGAATCGACATTGAAGAGGCAGATTCTGTGACTGACCATGCCCAGGAGACAAGGAGTCATCAAACCAAGTCCAATGTTGAAATATTCTGAAGTTGGTAAATTTAGTAGAGCAAAGCTTTGCATATTGGGTCTGCTCTGAGCTTAGGTGTCTTCCTAATCAGCACACTTTGGAAACAATATAAGAATTTTGTCAGGAGATTCATTTTAACTGGGTTAATTTGTGCCGATTCTGTTTAGGGGAACTTTGACAAACATGAGTAAGATTTAATTTAATGACTGCTGTAAGTCAGTAACATAGGAGAACGCTGAAAGTGTGTCAGTGCAATTTAGTGTATGTGCACATTCACCTGTTTGATGGCATATCAATCTAAGCTGTTTGACTTCAGGGTGGAAAGTTTGACAACCAATCTTCGTCACAAACAAATTAGCTAAAGGATGCAACCACCGCAGAGCCAGATAACCTGAACCTGAAGTCTTAAGAGGACAAGCATCAGGGCCAGACTCTGGATCGAAAATTATTCTTGCAAGCAAATACAGCATATACCTGTTAGGGGTGTACAGGTACATGTATGGGTACCAGACCATTTCAAAGAGTGACTCAGATCTGAGTTCTCACACCGACCAGAAGGAAAAGCACAGCTCCTTTCTTTCATTGAAACAGCCTTTTGTTAGTGGATCTGAGTGGGCAAACAGGAACAACCTCGGTGGTTCTTTGAGGACACAGACTTTGGACACATTAAAAGTAACTCAGCTGTGATATTAAGGTCATCCTCCTCTGCGTTTAAGCAATAAAGTCACACCAGGCCTTTGTGAACAAGCAAAAGCAGCTGTCATGCTCGACTCTAACTGACGCATTTATGACTGGGCATCAGGTGTGTTTCTCAAAGTTCATTTAGTGATCAAAGGATGTTTAAAAAGTTGCCAGGCCAATAGACCTAAAGAAGATTGTGTCTGCCCCCTAAATCTTGTGTAATTTATCTGAGTATCTTTTATTTATTGGAAACTGTTTTGGTAAAAGGTTGCAGCATTATTTTAACTTTTATAGATTTTATTTTCTCATGTTTTATTTAAAATGTAAAAAAAAAAAAAAAAGAAATCTGAGCCGAGCGACAAACCTGAACGGCTGAAGATGAACTTGAGAAAATGTATAAAAGGGAAGTTGTTCATGACTGGGTCAAGTTGTGAGAATTATAATGTTCACACCCGGGTTGTTATAAAGCCTTATAGATGCTTTATAAATGTGCTAATAATGCATTATAAAAGGTGGGTTCAAATTAAGTGTTACCAAATTTGCTATACATGATAAGTTTTGTCCCTCAGCATGCTTTTTTTTCCCCATCTTCCTCTTCGATTAAGGACGAACCCGTGTGCTACCTGCCTCTCACACGGCATCTCTTCACAAAGACATCACAAACCACTGTAATCAGTCTTGAAGTGACTCATCAACTTGTATGTAGGCCTTGGCTCAAGATAAAACCATTAATGTAATTGCTCACATCTCACAGAGGTGGCCGGCGTTCGAAAGGCCACAATTACCTGGCATATTTATAATCAACAGGTATCTACTTTGGATGGAAAGCACAAGAAAAAAATGAGTTAGTACCGGATTCAGTGACCCAGCTGCAGTATACAAAGTTGAGTAACACACTCTCCTATGTGTGGTTCCATCCCCCACACACGCACAAAGGCACACGCATATATATTTGTACAGTGCATACACTGTCCTGCTATCACTGACAGTGTTCCCACCAGATCTGGACTTGATATATGAGGCCACGGGCACAGAGGCAACTTGAGCCTTTGCTGCTAGAGCTCTGCAAAATTGGCCTCCAATAGTGAACTGCAGAGACAGAGAGCTGAATATTACACACAGCCTCTGTTTGTGGCCCAAGGCATGAAACTACAGCAGTGAGAGAGCTTTTTGTACATGTTCTGAAGGCAAGTTTATCATTTGAAATGGATGTATTCAAGGCTCTACCACCAAAGCCCATGTGCAGTTGAGCTGTGTATATTTTTAGCATGTAAAAAATACATATTCAAGTGTTATGTTTCGGCATTGCTATAACATAGCTGATGTATTCCCTGCTGCATATAAATGTACTTCAGCTACACAAACTTGAGCATAAATATACCATAATCATGCAGTGTTGGAGAAGTGACTTACTGAGGAGTGCTCCTCCATAAAGGCGGACAGAGATACTAGTCGTGGAGAGCTCTTCCTCAAAAACAACCTCATATAGTTGATTTGGAAACACCAGAGCCTGTGTGGAAATACAAAAGCACACCACAAGTCCATCATACAGTACAATAGAACTCTGTCTTCAACAAATGCCCCCAAAACACAGTAGTCTGTGGATGCCCTGAGCACTGAGGATAGTGAGTGTTTATGATGATACAGCCGACAAAGACTGCGCTGTTTCTCCAGATGTCCCTCATTGATGAGAAAGGATCTACAGTAACTCACTACCCGGTTTGTCTAAGAGGATGTTTTCTATTTCTAGAGTCAGTCAGTGTGTTTACATGCACAGCTGAATGGGACTAAGTTTATAGTTCTTTTTTTTTTTTTTTGCCAAATCGGACTTCTCTCTTTGTCCGCGTATACATGCAGCTGAGAAAATCGGATTATTGACGTGAACATGTCCTTCTCCCCAAAAACTAGGGGGTGATATGGGTCTTTTCAGCAGTGCTGTTTCTGACCCTATACAACTGTGAAAAACAACAGCAGGTCCGTGCCAGACGTCAGAAGTGGCTACAACCATAGATATATATATGTTTACATTTCTTATAAACATTTATGGCTACAAATGCTGCTGGGCATTTTCGAGCAAGAAGATGGAGGATCGTACATCTTCTCTGGCGTTTTTGTTACAGGGTTAATGAAGGCGTGGCCCACATGCATTGTCCGATCATACTCTCACTATGCTGGTTACATGGTAGAGAAAATCAAATTCCAATCGCATTATCTGGGTGTCTTAATCAGAGTTCTCATACTCGGATTATAGTCGTACTAAAGTGTTCACATGCACTTCAGTTGTCTGGTCTTAATCGGAGTGAGGCAACAATTTGGTTTTCTCAAATGTCATGTAAACGTACTGACTGTTTAATTTCTGTTTCATAGCTTTAGAAAAGCCTCTGCATTGAGGCTTTTTCTAATTATGAATGTGAAACAAGCTGCTGACTGTGTTGATACTACAGGGAACACTTACCATCAGGCCCATAGCTGTGAAACCCACAGCAGAGATGAGTATCCACACCCTAGGAAGAGAGAGATAGCGTTACTTACTGCATACTTTCTGCAGTCAACACTGACAGTACATTCCCCGTCTCAAGAGTTTGCAAGATGTTGAACTTTCCTGGAAGTGACACACAGATGACCCTACACAGTCTGCTGCGCTAACTGTGAGCTTTTCTGAGCAGCTGAAATCTCACCTCAGCCCGACAGGCTCTCGCACGGCAAACTTCAGCTCATTTCCGAGCATCTGGCTGATCTGTGAGCAAACAGGGCAAGACAGCAGAAAAAAGGATATGAGTTATGAGAAGGAAAGAGCAATAGCAATAAAATCCTCGTGACAGATATTTGTTTTGACAGCCTGAAACAAAGAATTATTAAAGCACTCCCCGTGGAGGTGCGTTTGCAGTTGTCAACACACCTGTAGGAAGCCACTGAGAAGAGAAACATTAAACAGAGCTGTAAAAAGGAAGAAAGAAATGGCAAATAATTCAAAGATGGTAGCGTATTTCCTTCCTTTACCACTCCCTCAAGACAGACAGGGGATGTTTTAATGTCAACTTGCTGTGAAGGCTGGCTGGAAACCAAATCTCAGGCTTATAACAGAGGAAGAGGCTCATTTTCTACAAACAACTTAATCCAAGCAACACAAGTGCCGCATAAAACTCGATTCATAATACTCAGAGCCTGGAGCATTCATTGGGAAAAAAAATCTGACTAATTAAAAGAAACTATTTGTTCTAGTTAAATGGAAAAGCTGAATGAGTCTTTTCATCCTGCAAAATTAAAGGAACAGATTTAAGCGTTTCCCTGGTGAAATCTGTTGTGATAAGCATCTCTTATCATCGCTGCAAGACGATGCTGGAATGCTAATGACTGCTTATGATAATATATTCACATGGGTCTCTTCATATTAAAGCACAACCATTAAGCTCATATGCATACTTCACACTCAAATTCAAAGAGAATGCATTCACATGACTATATTTAACACAGCATGTCTCAGGCACATCATACAAAGGGGTTGAAAGATGAAAAGTGGGGCAAAGTTAAGAGAACTGCAGGATCTGATAAGAGGGAGACTCACTTCTTTATACTGATTGTTTTATTGTTTTTGCAGTTTCCTTTAAATGAGTCCCTCACAATTTAGTCTGAAGAAACAGCTGGTACGTTTGTTTACCAAGCTTCTGCCAGGATGCTTTAGAGGGGGCACAAATCATAGAAGTATCCAAAAGAGGGAGAGACGGGGACAGCCTCAAACTTTACAACATTTTAGATGACAGCTAAAGACCAACTGGGGAGACGAGGGTGAGGAAAGACATGCAACCAAGGGCTGCAACAAAGAATCAAACCAGCCAGTGCTGCAACAGGGACTACAGCCTCCGTACACGGGCATGCACTTAAACTGCAACAGGTAGGGTTGGGCGATAAACTGAAAATTTACCGATACCGAAATTTACGTCAATAACAAACGTCATTTTGCCCATGTCAATATATTCAGTGTCAAATAAATAAACAAATAAAAGTTGGTTTTGGACGTGTGTAGGTAGGCTGTGGTCTCATGTCCCTTTAAGACGCTGTCCTACGTCAGAGACGTGACTCCACCCCATCCAGTCAGTACCAAAGAGGGAAAGACAGGTGAGGAGATGGAGGACAGTTCAAAAGTTGTAGTGGCTGGAGTAGACAAAGTTAATGTGGAAGGGGGTGAGCAGCTTGTGGAGTAGTTATCTCGGTGATCTGCTCAATATATCGTAATATTGATTTGAGGCCATATCGCCCAGCCCTATTAACAGGTGCCCCCAGAAATTTTGATAGCAAGTAGGCTCCAGGTGTTTTCGAGTTTACCTGCAGTGCTGTGATCCCTACACAGCAGGAACAAATGTGTCTCCCTGTCAGGAGAGCCGCGGTGTGCATTTACACATGACACACAGAGCTGTTACTTTGCAGTCGATTTACATCTACAGACACAGTGATGAGATCGCTCAGAATATCAATAAATCAATAAACAAAATCAATGCAATGTGTAGTCTCTTCATTGATTACCTTCTACACAGTCCAGGTTCATATGCTGAATCGATGACATTGATTAGAGAGAATAACAGAGCCTATAACTTTTAAGTCTGTAGACCCCCTAAAAGGACCTGTTGCATCTTAAGAGGGATTTATTTCCACGCCACCTTAAATTCTCACACATGATCTAAAGAGGAGAGTATGGCAGCTCTTTGTTATGATCTAAAGCCTCACTGCCAAATCTCCCCAAACCCCTCACACCAATCCCTGAGGTCACTTATCAGAACCGGTGAGACATGGGCTTTTGTCCAGCCTTTTAAAATGTTGGATTGTGTTATCCACTTGAACAATGCTTGTTTGGACAAACTCTCACACAAAGGTATTTTTAGTTTAAATGAACTGACCTTGGGCGTTTTAAAAATCACAGTGGTGTTTTAGTCATCATTTTGTTTGACTGGAATATGTGACCAATGGATTTTTTTAAAGATAAGCTCGTAATGATGGTAATATAATTTTATTTGTGTAGAGTGAGCAAACAAACGAGATCTGTAATCCTATGAAGGACTTGATTACTAAGTTCAAAAGGCACTGTTTTCAATTCTGAAGCATCTTATGTGCAACAAATACCTTCAGGCGAGGAAAGGCTTATCTAAGTCAGTGAAGAGAGACAAGCTGTGCTTATCTCTGTGTGTGTGTGTGTGTGTGTGCTTACATGCACACAATGACTATTGATGTGGTCTGCAGCTACAGCGCTCATGCTTTTACCATGTGAGGAGGACATTAGAGCGGACATTTGGTCACAAATTCAGGTTCAAACCAGGGCAGAGGGGTGAACAAACTGTTGGAGAATACACAGAGAACAGAGCAAATCTAAACCGAGTTTTCTGCTTCAACAGCCAGTAACCCGCAGAGACATTTAAAAAAAAGGAGGTTTTGTCCTTCATTTAGAGCCTCCAGGTCCAATAACTCCTCTAGTATCGATGAAAGCCCGTCACCATTCAGCCTCTCTCTCCATTAAATCTATTTTTATGCATCAATGAAACTAAATAAAGATAAAACACCATCAACTTACTATCAGGACAGAACTTTTACCAGGAATCTAGACACAGAGTTTTTCTTTTGCTGAATGAGATAAGCATTGTCAGTGTGAGTTAACAAGATAATTCATGAAATATGTTCATAAAAGCTTAAAGAGGATTAGGGCCACAAAGAGAGAAAAAAATAATTACAAGGGGAAGAATTTTTTAATTTCCATTTTGAGATTAAAGTAAAAATTTTGAGATCAAAGTCAAAATTTTAAAAAGTCGAAATTTTGACTTTATTCATGTCGGTTTTATTCTCAAAATTTCAACTTTAATCTCAATTTTTTTTAAATCTCTAAATATCAACATTATTCACGATATTTTGACATTTTGCAATCTCCAAATTTCAACTTTAATGTCAAAATTTCGACTTTTATCTCAAATTTTTTAATCTCAAATTATCAACATTATTCAAGATATTTCGACATTTTGACATCGTGAAATTTAGACTTTAATGTCAAAATTTCAATTTTTTTAATTGTGAAGTTTCTACTTTAATCTTAAAATTTTGACTCATATCTCCTTCCTTTAATTTATTTTTTCCTCTTCATGTGGCCCTAATCCTCTTTCGTAGAAAAGTGCTCCCTTTTACCAATCCCAAATATTTTCATGTTACGAACAGAGCACTGAATCAGGAAGACTTTCAAAACCAGCTGACCACATCTTGTCATGACAGATTATCCACATGCCTCCAGAAGAAGTCAAATCTTAAAATAGGATTAATTGTTTTTTAAATCAATGGCCTTCATTTCCCTGCAAATTGAATCAAACGAAAAAAGTAATTTCCTTTCTAACATCTCCACATACCAGTGCTGGCTTTGATCTCAGAGAGGAGTCCTTCAGGGAAAGACGCCTTTGAAGCAAAACTCCACAAATATCAAGATAAAGACTTTCAAATGAGACCTATTACTTCTCTCTTCACAGTGCAGCTGACACCAGCCAGCTGAATCAAACTTAATGTGTCTGTGGTTTTAGCCGTAGTTTTCAACAGGAATACATAAATATTTGTGACTGGCATGAGAAATAGTCAAGTGGAACCAAATGTTATATGACGGTAAAAGACTGGCTTGCAGGTGGAACAGGATGGAAGGGAGCTTTAGACGGAGGAGAGAAACAGGAAAAGAAAGAAACACACAGCGTTGTTTGTGAGGGACTCAGAATACCAGCTGCTACCGCCTGGTTTTGTCATCAGTCACCCAGTCAGCCACAGTCAGTAAACAAAGGTCGACTTCTCCGCCAGGGAGTATGAAAAAATATTCAGGAGAGGTAGCGACCTCAAATTTTAGTCAATTAGTTTCCTGTCTCATGTTTATTTATGGACGATGTGAGCTTTTTGCAGCCACACAAGCAGATGAGGTGAATGTCTCATACAGATGTATCCACCACAGCACATTATGGTTTGCCTCGGTTTATGAAGCCTCAGACTCATGCTGCCAGAGCACGGTTGTTGCAATATGACCTTAGCACTAAAGCAGTGAACCATCAAGTCAAAGGAGCTGATAAGTCAATACCTCCTGGCGCTGTAGCACTCACATATGGCTGCAGCACGAGCAAAAAGCTTTTCTCTTACTGGGTATAATTAATAGGAGCAGTATTCTTATCTGCAGGCAGTCAAAAAAAAGTAGGAAGCGACAGTCCACAGACCACAGGAGCACTTCCCTTCATTGTCTACAGCGACCACAGGGATAAAGCCAACTGCCCCCCTCTTCCAAAACGACCCGTGCTGTGCAGCTAACCTTACAGGAAGATCCCATGAGTCTCTTCACCACAAACACTTGTGGAAGAGCGACTCAAGGCTAACAGCACAATGCAGCAGAAGAGAACGAAACAATTGGATTGTTAAGGCAACACTTAATTTCTAAATTAGAGTCAATGCCATGGTTAAATAGGGCAGCCTGCAATTTAAAACAGCACGTACTGCAGGGTCTAAAAAAAAACATTGGTAAGCATTGTGTGATCTTGTAGTTTGATATTGTGATAACAGTATCAGGTTTGGTAAATAAGCGGATATTAAAGAGTCCAAATTAGGAATAACTCTGTGGTTTTATACCAGTCTATCACCTAGGACTGGGCGATTATATGTTCGTGATCGACGATCATATTTACTCGATCAAACATAGAGGAAATGTGCGTCACAACAGCCAATCAGAGTCGAGCTTTTCCTGCTCACACAAACAGGAGAAGTAAACCGAATGACCAAACATGGAGCTAAACGCGGAGCTGAGGGCAGCAAGATTGTTGTCAGCAGTGACTTTGAGTCATTCTCCGAAGATGTTGTTATTCAGTTATTCAACATCGGTTGTGTTGCGATGTATCTCCAAAGACACGTCGGGAAATAAAGCCGATGAGCAAGGTATGTCAGCGATCGGTATCATCAAAAACCGGCAACACAACAAATCTGTTTAATCATTTGAAGAAGGACCTACCCAATGATTATGAGAAACGCATGACAATGTGAGTGAAGTCTGTACAGCCTGCCACTGCTGACAGCACGAGTAGCATTAGCAGTTTAGCCACAACTAGTGGTGCAGCCACCAGACCTTGGCAGCGATTAATCATATCATTTACGTTTACATAATCTAATGTTTACATTTTAAGGCGTCTTCATTATCTCTGATTCACTGTATTGTCTCGTATTTATCTACATTTGTTTTTTTATATTTTTCCAAGTTTATATTATCCAATTTGCTTTGTTATTTACTTTGTATGTTGAACTAATCTCTAGTTTCATAGTTTTAAGTACAAATGCTTTAAAACAGGCAGTTAAAGAAAATCGTGATAATAATCGAGATCAGACGATATGACAAAATATATCGTGATCTTTTTTTTTGCCAAATCACCCAGGCCTACTATCACCCAAACTTCAAAGGCTGTTGTCTCTATTTTACTCAATATGAATACAGCTGCTACATAGCTTTAGCTCTATCTGACTGCATCAACATGGTACAAAAGCAAGGCCAACATACCAAGGCCTCTATCGCATATGTACATGCTTGATGAAATAGCACTGCTCCTTTAACGTACATGTAGCTGAACCACTACTCAGTCATTTCAACAAGCCTCTAATCAGAATTCAATTAATTTTATTAGCTGGCATGGGAATGAATCAAGGGTTTCTTGTTCTGAGGCATCCTTGATTACGCTTATTCAAAGGGACAGAGTGGCAGATGTCTGGGTTAGGCTCCTCGCTAAAACACCGGGAGAGAGAACAAACACTGAGGAGGGCTGAGAAAAAGGGGCCGACATTTCATCGCAAACTATCAGCCACCACCGTATGCCCGCTCCCTTCTGTTCTGTTCCCTTCTCCCACACACAAGCCTGATTAATATTTCAGTGAGGAACAGTGTGCTCTGCCTATGATTATTCTACAGCAATCTGATAAAGGGGGATAAAAGTCATTTAAGCTGTCTGAAAAAGGGAGAAGGAATTATTTATTGCCAGCCTGAAACTTTGCATCAACAAGCACGAATCTGAGAAGTGTTTTTCCTGGCATGAGTAAGCCAGTGTGCTGTCATGTTTTTGGTGTACATATCCTTGTTCACTGGTGTCTGTATGTATGTGTAGATAAATGTGAGGCAGGAAGAGAATAAAGGGGACGCAGGAGGCGGGGGGTCTCTCTCGCTCGCTCTCCCAGGGGAGCGAGTCACATCTCGGTGGAGTTTGGTCGCTCATGAGATTGTGTGATCTAGATTCACTGATGCAGAAGGAGCAAATACACAACACAACGCCAGGAGAGTGATGAGCTAATTAGCGGCCCATTGTGGCGTTTAAAAGGAATCCATATCTCTTCACAGGGGTGAATTAATACATCGCCGGTTAAATACTATGTCTGCCCATGTCTCACTGCAACACCATCTATTTTACTGATAACTGCTTCACTTCTTTTGTTTTTTTTTTCTCTTCTACTGATGCCCCAGCTACAGGACTGTATTGTCTGCATCATTACCTGACTGAATTCAGAAGACAGGAGTAAAATAATCATGTTTAGTGAGGGAAGGAATCACCAGTGGCCTCACGATACGATATCATTGTGATTTTTAACATTTTGCAATACAGTGAGTATTGCGATTTGTACAATTTTTTCAACTGTTTAGCAAATTTAGCATTTGGCTTTCCTTTATTTTTGTCTTATTTATGCTGTATTTTATTTTCATGTAGCACATCCTGCAAACCTTAAATATATATTTGTTGTACTGACTTTCTACTGCTCTAGGATGTCACCTCTGTCATCAAAAATTTGACTTCATATTAGCAACTAATTTAAAGAATCGATACTTGGTAAATGAGACAATACAATATATCACCAGACAAAATATCGTGATACTATGCTCTATTGATTTTTTCACTCTCCCCTAAATGTTTAGCATCTAACCTTTGAGCGGTGCACCTCGCCATCGTCATCCTCGCCGCCGACTCCAAGGATCTTCCGGCTCTTCAGGCGGCTGATCAGGTCTGTCTGACTGTGCTTCTTCATAAGAGGAGGGTGAGGTTTGGATGCCATGGTGGAAACACCTGAGAAAGATGTAAAGAGAGAGTTAGGCTGGCATTTGGTGTGTGAGTTATAAATAACACCATTTATGCAAGATATTAGGGCTGGTCGATAAAACGAAAATTTACAGTTACCAACATTTACGACAATAACTAACGTCTTTTTTCCCATGTCAATATAATCGGTGTCAAAAATAATGAATAACTAAAAGCTGGTTTTGGATGTGTGTAGGTAGGCTATGGTCTCATGTCCCTTTAAGATGCTGTCCTACATCAGAGACGTGACTCCACCCCATCCAGTCCGTAACAAAGAGGGAAAGACAGGTGAGGAGATGGAGGACGGTTCAAAAGTTGTAGCGTTAAGTTAATGCAGGAGGGGGTGAGCAGCTGATGGAGTAGTTATCATCCATTTATCGTTATCGAGATGAGCTGCTCAATATATCGTAATATTGATCTGAGGCCATATCGCCCAGCCCTACATGATACATTACTGAAGCTCTTCCTCTGTCACTCTAATGAGGACACCTCTCTACAGCAGAGGTAGGACCTGCATCTACTAATCTACCAATAATCCTCTTGAGGACAATGCAAAATAATTACACAACAAAGCTCCAGGAAACTCATGAAATCTTCCTCTTAGTCAAGACTAGAAATGACATGATGACATGACATTCACATGAGATTCACAAAGCCAAAGATTTTTTTGTGCGTGTGAAAACAACAGTATGACTTAACATTAGCTATTATATAATCTATAAATAGTTTTATTTCTTATTTGAAATAATTATTGCTCAGTGGGGTTAATTCTTTCAGCAGTTTTCAAATAATCTAATTTCTTTCCTTCTTTCTCGTTTTAAGCTGTCAGCATGACTCGTTTCTAATCTCCACATGCTGCTATGATTAAAAAAAGACTCAAACTACACTGCTGCACAGCCAGCCGTCTTTGTTTGATTCCAGGAACTTCATAAGCGAAGAAATGTGGGAAAAATACTCTGCTTATCCTTCTGAGATCTTTTTTTAAACTTACAATTAAACTTGCATCCCTCTAATATTAGTTTTTATGCCGTGAACAACATGGATATTTAGGGTTTCATCTGCTGAATGAACACGCACATCATTATCAACAGTTCACATTCCTGGTGTAGACATTTAAACAAACATTATCTCAAATGTACTACAGCAACAATAACTAACTGACAAACATTTACAAGCCGTTCATTTGTATTATCTGCCTGCCCCTGTGCCAGCTGTGATAACAGGACACACAGCGGTGGTCCTATTGATCACTGTTAATGAATAAGACCTGTTAAGTCAATGGGGACAAGCAAAAGCTGAGATCATCATCATCATCCACTCAATAATGTAACCTCAAATGTGGCTCAACTAATGGGAAAGAGGTACACAGACGTGTGTGTGCACAGATACACCAGGTTAACATGTCTTAGTTATAGTGAGTCCACAGGGAAAACTGAACTTTAAAAATATTTGTTTTAACACAAATATTTATAGAGATAGCTTAGTATCCCTTTGGCCCCAAAAGAGAAATGATATGACAAAAAGAGACATTATTTAAGTTAACTTATGAAGTTTATAAATCAAACTTGTACAATGTACCTAATGTACAGTGTACATCCATTTCTAATTTCTCTGAGGGAACCTTCCCAAAATGATCAATAAAGTTCTATCCAATCTAACCTAATCTAATCTAACTATAATTTGGACCGAAAGCACAGACAGCTGGGAACAAGAACGCGAGCTTATCCAAGCACTTTTCAGTCTGCATACATATGGGCAGCCTTGGCTTGAAGGCACTCCCTTGCATTGGCATGCATACATGGGATTTCAGAGGTCAGTGAAGGTTACACAGCATGTGTTCAGTCTTCTGTTGTCAAACATTCCAGCTGGACTCCCACTCAGTGAACGAGTGTCTGGACTTTTCCTTTTTCTGACACCACCAGCAGGAAGAGGGCAGACACCACTGAAGAAAAGGGAAAGGAGACGGGGAACTCTCATGCAGGGTTTCTAATAATTCACTAAGGGAATTTGAGGATGGCTGTTATAGAGGGCAACCTGGATGGAAAAAACAGAGGTCCCACAATTTCTGTTTTGCATTTTTATTTTTTACATAATACTGCTATAAACATAATTGCTGCATAAAAGCTTCTCTAAAATGCCAACTGTGGAGTTTTATGAAACACATATTTTGGCAGTACCCCCTATTTATTTTTTGTTTTTACACTGAATCAGTTGAAATATCATTATTTTTTCATAACAGTATTATTGCTGAGGAATATATCACAGTATTCTTGAAATAACTCCCAGTTATAAACCCCTACATCTCATAAGTATTGTAGAGAAAAATGGGGCCAAAGAAACAGTAAAGTCTTATTTTCTTTGGGATCAGATTTTTCTATGAAGAGCAGACATGCCATCAAACAGTTCTAGTTTCAGTGTTTGAAAAGAGAGGTGTTAGATCAACCAGCCCAAAGCTTTCATTTCAGATGAGAGTTTAAACAGAAAATATATAGGTTTCTTATCAGAGCTGGAACATTTCATTCTTAGCCTGTTGCCTTCCTTCATTCTTTTCCCCATTAGTAAAAAAAAACCTGCCGCAAGAGCTTTTCCATTCACCAAAAACCTGCTGCATCCATCACTGGGCCTCCTCATGTCCCCTTCAATGATGTCAAACCAAAGCTCCTTTGAGATGTGATCTGAACCCCAACAGTCTGCAATAAACCAGTAGGCTGGACACACCTCACTGGCAGAGCTGTTTTCTCCCCCATGCTTGAAAAAACATGCATGATGTCTGAATCCCCCCTCCTGGTGCTCCCTGACTTGCCATTTTGATGTCTACCGAGTTGCCTGGCAATCAGCAATTGCCTCATCATCAATGACAACACCTTTCATGATTGGACCACCTTTGATGATGAGGTCTTTGCTGAGAGCCAGCCACCAGTGACTCTGTTGGTGTCCTCGGTTCTGTCGCGGGTGGATTAATGAAAAGACTCCTGGTGTGTATTATGTCAACTGCAGTGAAGACATGCTTTCCTAATGAGTGTCCAATCATTGGCACTGAAAACTTCAAGAACAACTTAACAGTCTTTTATACTGAAGACGAGAACGGCCATGGATTTTTCTTTTTCTCTCGACATGAAGATTGTTTATTTTGTAATAATAAATTATTTCATGTTCCTTATCTCGACATATCAAAGATTGTTTTCTCATGATAACACATTTATTAATTATGTTGTTGTCCGATGGTAGTTAAATGTTCCCACGTTGAAAGTGTAATGCCCAAAGTGGAGCATACTGTCAGCGTTTTCAATAAAAAAAACGGCTTGCTGTTGACAACACTGGCTGCAGCATTTTAGAAATATCTCAATCTGGAGGGCATTTCTCAAAAGATACTGCTTAATGTTGTCTAAAATTGCCGTTATCATGAGGAAACGATCTTTGTTATGTCAAGATAATGAAAAAAATCGTTATAAAAAGAAAACAAACTTTGTTATATCGAGATAACGAGATAAGTCGTCATAAGAAGATAACAGTGCAAAAAAAGTGACTGTTGTCGTCTTCCGTTCTATTAAGCTCATTGTACATGTCTTTTAACTACAAACACGATACACACAATGACCAAAGTGTGTAGATGTGTATTAGGTGTAAATACATTAGTAATTGACAGATTACTTTGTTTGACCCATTTTGGACAAATCACCTGATAAACAGCCTGACAACTGCTTTACATGCATCCATGAACGCTGGAGCTAGCTACAACAGTTTAAGTTTAAAATACAAAGCATTTAATCTGTTGACATTTCAGTTCCCCTCTAATCTTGCTCTGCTCTTCCTCACAGCTACCACAGTTAGCATGTGCAATCCACCATAGAGCAAGTCTAATTTATTTAGCATTTATTTGAGTATTTTATGTTTTTATATTCAAAGATATGCTAAGTTAAATTGTTGACTAAAATAGAGCACAGATGCTTGAACGAACCACTCTGGCAAAGTGAGAGTGGTTCATGTCCTGATTCAGGGAACATCAACAGACACTCAATCCCATGTGGCGAAGAAAGGTATATCCCCAGATCAGCTGAAAACATTTCATGTGTGATATTGTGATGTGAGCCATAAAATAGCTTGGAGGATTTAAAAAAAAGAGGCTGGCAGGTGTTCCACTGATGTATGCTGCAAAACCTGTTACTGATACAGTCTGAAGATATAGGGTATCTTACTTTTCTGTGATTGAGCGTATCTTTGCAGCGCATCAGTACATGAACCGGCTTGTGGGATAAACAGGGAATGAGAGTCTTATCACAGAGGAGGATGTGAAATCACTCAGTGATTGGAGAAGGGCCAGGTTTGTCTACCTGGAATAAAGAATAAACTGGAAACCCATACCAGCAATATGCAAAGTAAACAGCACTGTCTGTGTTCCTTTGCCAGGGTTTTGTCACAGAACATGTGCTGTGTAAATGAAAAGCTGCTAAACATTGGAGGGAGATTGTGTAGGAAAGGTGTGAAGTCCTTGAGAAATCTCTGGCTGGTGACTAAAAAAGATGTCCTGTAAGAAATAAATAAATGTATTGTAAGAAGAAAGCAGTGTGTGGGTGTCTAGGAGCAACTGTGAACAAATGTGTTACTCAAAATAAGAAGAGTGCAGGCTCCACAGCCTGTTCATCTCCTCCTCTTTCCATAAATAACATGAGAAATGAGTTGCAGTATAGCCTCTAAATCCCCTCATCTGAGATATGTAGCAGCATCATATAGCGACAAGACAAGATGACGCACAAAATGTCTCTGATCAACAGACTAGAAACACACATGAGCAGATGATCCTCAATGAAATGTCTGTCTCCTGTACCCACTCAGAATTATCTGCTGGCGTAAACAAATGTACACCTCTTCATGGTTAGTCGTTGGCGGTATGGATTTCTAATTACCCCAAGGAATCCTTTAGCACACACACTAAGGACAGGAGAAACAATCTGCTATGATTTCACAGAATAACATCCAACAAATTGAATGAGTTCCAGATGTTTATATGTTTGTTGAATACTACTAGTTTGTGTTTTGGGCTGGTGCACCATAAGGAAACTATACAGAACAGTACATGTTTTTCTATCAACAGTTACGACAGCTTTGGTTGGTACACCCTTTCCTCTGGAGCTGTCCAGGAAATGTATAGGGTTTGAGCAGAGGGGGCTCTTGTTTGATACGACAGCTTGGGAAAGAGACAGGAAATGTGGGGAGAGAGTCTGGGATGACATACAAGTCAGGAATGGAATTGGTGCGAGACGGGCTAAAGCTACTGGAAATGGGTTGACTACTCTATGTGTGCTGCAAGTATGTTTTGAACATGGCTGTGAAGATATTTTTACACAAGTGTTTCTGCTCTTTCCAACACATGGGGAACTGCAGTTTTTGCACTGCCCACGGCTTCATTTTTTAACATTGCAGGTTGATGTCTGCTGTCTCGAGATTTCAAACCCATTTAAAAACTGAACAATCAAACTGTAATTTTTCACTGCTCCCTTGGTGTACAGAAAAAAAAGTACCAACCTGTGTTGTCAAAGCTATGGTATAGGGCTGGGCAATAAACCCAAAATTTACCGATACCAAAGTTTGCAACAATAACCAAAGTCATTTTGCCCGTGTCAATATATTCGATGTCAAAAAAATACATAAATAAAAGTTTTTTTTGGATGTGTGTAGGTAGGCTGGTCTCATGTCCTTTTAAGACACTGTCCTACGTCTGAGACGTGACTCCGCCCCATTCAGTCAGTAACAAAGAGGGAAAGACAGGTGAGGAGATGGAGGACGGTTCAAAAGTTGTAGCAGCTGCAGCGGCGACTGAAGTTAATCTGGGAGGGGGTGAGCAGCATAAATCGTCCATTTATCATTATCAAGGTGAACTGCTCAATACATTGTGATATTGATTTGAGGCCATATCGCCCAGCCCTACTGTGGTACATATCAAACCATGAATACCTGTATTGTGTAGCTGTAGGGTCTTTGTGCAAATAAAACCTAAACAAAGTTTATGAATAGCAGTTTAGTCTGTAAAACTTAATGAGATAAGCTCAACAAGCTCATGGGTGTTTGACTAAGTCACAGGGCTATGCATGCTAAAGAGTGTTAGAGGACAAGCCTGCACCCTTGAATGAGCTGTCTGGGAATAGCTCAGTCTCTAGGCAGCTATAAAAGCAACAGAGGAACAGTTTAGTACACAGATGTGCCATGTCTTTCAGTTTTACAGTCTATTATGAACCACTGACTTCTTGAAAGTAAGTGTTGACTTTTCTTGGTCAACTGGCAAATCAAAAGTAGACCGGAGGACACCTGAGCTGTTAAAGATAAAGTATGACTAAATTCAGTTGATGGGGAAGATTAATGCTTGAGTTTTCCTTGAAACAAACCAGCCTCAATACCTATGTCTTCAAGCAAGACAAGATGCATTACTGTAAGGCTCCTTATTGAAGTGAAGTCTTTGGCATTTCCACAACAACCTCAGATAGCTACTCGACAGTGATAGAATGATTCAGTTCCACCGCCTCCAGGAAATGCCTACAAGATTTGTCTTTAGACAGATTGATGTGGTTTGCAGCACAGGAACTGTCGATAGGGCAGCGTTAAAGAGGCATGGTTTACCTTTACTATATTTTTACATTCAAGGTCTGTCCTCGACCATGAGCCTTAGGTTCTTTATGCTTATGAACAAAGAGCTGCAAAGAGGATCCAGGGTTTTGTTACATCCCTGCATGCCCATTTCTAAGACCCATGGAGCAGATAAAAGTCTCACTATTTTCTTTTTCTCAAGCCATGCTGCTCTCACTGCCCTAAGCTTGTGAAAAAAACAACATTCTCTGCTGTAACTCCAGAGCTGCTCTTTCCGTTGACCAGTTTGCTTATGACACTGCAGTGCAGGTCGGTTCCAAGAATCCCATGCATTTTATCAAAACCGCAAAATCAAAACAGGACAAAATTACAGAGAGGAACTACACGAGATAAAAAAGGTGCACTGATGAAAGGCTTTTACTGTGTACTGGTGTGCATTAAGAGCTGATTAAGACAGCAAGGGAGGGCTGGGACCTCATTATAGCTTCAACAAAGTCATTACAGCTCCAACTAAGCACTGCTAAGAGCATTAAATTAAAGCACAGCAAGGCTTTTATAACATGTTGCCACCTGGGGTGTTGGTTTTGATACCCTGATACTTGCTGTGTTGGTGCATCATGGTACATTGCTAATATGTTGTTAAAAGATGTCCCTGAAAATTCATTTACCAACAAGAATAGAACAAGACAACACGAAGAACAACACCAGCAGAAAATATAGCTTTGACTCATTTATGTCACGGCAAGATGAACACTGTCAGACAAAATGTGGCTCTGCTTCTCATTTTCGAGCTGTGAAGATTATTCTCTGAAAAAATAAAAAAATCATGAAATAATGGTTTCCCTGCCAGACAGAGACTTGCTCTGCATCCACTGGAAATAACTTTGAAGTTTCAGTTATGGTAAAATGGCTGAGAGAACAGATGAACACGAACAGCTGGTGATGAACAAAAGGCAACTGAGAATTCCTGTCTCGAGTCAAAACAGACCACCAATGCAACCCTGGAAAATGTGCATACAGCCCGACTGAGGATTCTCAATGACTGTCAATGGATTATTGTGCCGAGTCAAACACATTAATACTGTTAAACCTTTTGGGAACACTCACCACAGAATGAACCACTCCTAATGATGCCTGGGATTTGGAATTTCCCTGACTAATATTTGGTTATTACATCATTGCACAGTGAGGGACATTCCCCTCCCGGCTGGTCGACCTCCTCCAGAGTGATTACGTAAGACTGTGTCTTGCGTGGTTTCTGAACATCCTTCAGGGAGTCCTAAATACAAAACAGTGGTCATCTTCACAGTCCTGAAATATTTCTACTAAATCTGTTTAAGTGAGGCTGTAAGAGTGAAAACCTGATGAAAAACCTAAGCAGCACTTTAATCTGAGATGATACATTTTTGTATCAACCAAGATATTCAGTGCGGCATCGGCCATGTCTCCTCTTCACACCACAAATATAAAGAGTTGTGATACATTTTTTCTGTACGCTGGCTTTTGCACTGTTGTGTTACCAGCAATTTCCACCGCATTACCAACAGCTACGAAAAGGCAGTATCCACGATCGTAGCTGATCGTAACCATTCAAGTTAATGTGTCGATTTCCATCGGCTTCGTTATCGCGCGATTGCACGTGAATCTGCGGGTTCTTGTGAGTTCTCACGATTCCTGCTGTCCGTAATCCACCATGAAATTTGCCTCACAAACGGTCCAATAGGAATTGGCGTACGGTGAAAATAGCCGCCGTTCTGGATGCGGAGGAAATCCCGGGTAAATCTTTGCCTTTTCCAAAAGAAAGGGATGGGCATTTCAAGCAAAAGTGCTATTCGATAATCACTGGTAACTATTCAAAAATTATTCAAAGATCATTATTTGCTCTGTGCGTCTATCATCAAACTTCATTGGGTGACGAAGCTTGCCATTGATCGTTGATCTGCGGACAGCGCCCCTCTTTCTGCTGCATGCCACACTCTCAAATGGCTGCAAAGTATCGAGATGTGATATGCTAGTTTAACCTTGCAGAGTTCGTACTGCAATTCATTTCCGTTTATTTTTTCAAAGGAGCTCCCCACAGAATTTTTTGATGCATGTGCAAGTCCCTACATGTTTCTGTGGTTTGTATGACTTGGGGCATTAACTGGCGCGTCATTTAGTGTTATTGCGTTATTTCCAGGTGCTGATAAAAGCCCTTTTTTTTCCTTTTGTTAAAAACAAAACCATCGTTGCATTAACAATTTGATTATACATTTAAAGACTATTCAAATATTCAGAACTCATTGCCCATCTCCTACTGAGTGCAAAGGAACACTTGTAAACTTGCAGTGGATGGAAGTAGAAAAAAATCACCAGTCTTAAAATATTAAGACTCCCAGTTATCTGGAAATCGCCACTGTCCCCTAAAAGCCTTATTCTTTATGAGCCGATAACAAGAGCACTTTCTATTCAAGGAGAAGTGCCTAGACTATGTCAATTACTTTAAAATACAACAACAACAAAAACAGCTATTCAAACTTCCTGTACTGACCAGTTGTTTTTTTTAGCGGTATTGTTTTTCTTGAGAGACATCTGAGCAAGTGGGATTGTCTTATATTTACCGTCTATAAATTAAACGCTCTCACTGTGGACAGCACCACTTGTCTGTGAAGTGAGTGTGCCCTTCGTGACTGTGGCCAGACATCACTGCCGCAGAGGATAAGAGAGGAAGAGACTTAGAGACCAGAGCAAAAAGCATAGAGGAGAGAGGTTAACCAGCGACTGAGATGAGGTAATGATGCCTTCTTTAAGAAAACAGTAACGCAAAAAGAAAGTTACACAACTGTCAAACTGTCAAAGAGCCTGGCGATGCAGGGCCTAAGATGATAATATATGCACATAAAGATTCTTTAAAGTGCGTGATGGAAAATGGAGTGAATCCATTAGCAGAGCTGTCATCCAGCCAAGAGGCTACAAATTTATTTCATGAAGTGTTTTAATGCCAGAATTTTTATATATAGTTCATATATTGAATTAGACTATCTGACATTAAAAAATTATTCTAATTTCAGAAACTACGGCAAGACTTGATTTATTCAATGTGTCTCCTGCTTTTAATGAAATTTGTTTTCTTTATCAGACAAAAGATTTGGTCTTCAAATGTCTTTTCCGGTAAATTATTGTTAAAGGGAGGAGTAATCTCACAATCAAAACACAGAGAGGAAAGGTCGCACAGGCCAGCAGTTTGACCAAGCAGAGTAACAATGTATGATTTAATGATGGGAACATAAACAGGTGGTTTATTTTTATCGTGTAACACAGCACATGTGCGACCAGGGTTGGGGGGGGTTCCAGTATGAAGCCACTGAGACCTGCCAGTGATTATACGCCGTTTCTGTCTCTGGAGCCATCTTGACATGGCAGGCTCACTGTGAAGCCCACGCTGAAGCAATGAAGATGCGGTGAAGTTAAGCAGAGCTGACACTTGGTGCACACGTGCAGCTGGGAGATGAAATGATCTCCTCCAAGGAGCTAAACCATAGGAGCTCAGCGGGGATCCAGCCCACATGGGGAGAAACAGACCAGAATGAGGTCCTGCCTTCAGACATACTCACTAACAAGCTGGCTTAAAGCTTCAAAGCTCTGTCACTGTGGTAATGTCACACACTGCTGTGACAAACAGCCAAACGGTTGTTATTATGACTTCTGTATAATTATTGTTTTTGTTGTTTAAGCAGTGACTAACAGCGAGGCTTGTTATTGATTTGCTCATCTCTGCAGCAGCAGCATATCATTGCACCGCCACTTTGATTTTAATGTGTGATGAGTTATAATTAAAATGGATCTTAGGCAGCAAACACAGAAACAAAGGGTGAGCTTTGTTGACGTATTAAAACGTCAAATGAGCCGCAAAAGATCTCGGGTTTTACAATCCATCCAAAAATAAAGACATTTTTAACCATTAAACTACATATGCAGCACACCAAGCTTAAAACTGAGTGTTAATTTTGCTGTACGTGTTTCTGCATGCACACCTCTTCCAGGGTGATGTCAGGGAAAATGAAGGCTGCGGTGGTTTTGTGGGCTCCCAGGTAGCTCTAAATGCCAGATGTCAAATGCTTGTTGTCCAGGGTAACTTTTAGTCAAGACTAATTAAATGATCTAATGAGGCAGGCTTTGCTGACGCACAACAAATAGTTATTACTGGATACATCTCTGCACAGCCAATTATTCTCCTCCCATGACTGCTGGTATATTAAGGAGAGAATTTTGAGCATTTCAGAAGTACCCAGCAGACCCTTAAACCCACAATCATAATAGAAAAGGTTGTGTTGAAGCACTTTGTGGCTTATGGTTCACTTTGTGATTGTGATCTGAAAGGCAGCTTTGTTGGTAACAGTCCAAATTGTTCTTTCATAGCCTTAAAATGCATGCGGCCGCAGAGACAAAGAGCCTTTTGGGGATGCTGAAAATGAATTATGCTGTGGAGAATAACACAATTATTATGGTTTGTGGATTGTTCTGTGTCTACCAGTGCATCAGGTGTAAGAAATCAGTGTGGCTATTTAATGAGTAGTTCATGATGGGTAACAAGTGGTTAAGCTGACAAAGACTGCTCGACTATTTCTGTTTGTTGCATAGGAAGAAGTGCATTATATAAAAAAAAAGACACTTTTAAGTTGTTTTAAACTCCACTTAAAAGTTTTTTGTTGTTGTTGTTTTGAAGTTTCCTCAAATTGGTGAACTAGACAGACTCAAAATGTCTGTTTTTGTGAGGATCTCATTTTGCTGCTGCTTTGATTTTGTCTTGCTGGTTTGCAAACACACAACCCACTGTGTCCTGAAAGTAAAAATTGCCCCTCTACTTAAGAACATTGATTTTAATAGACACACTGTGGGGATAAAATTTCCACTCTTTGTTCATTTGCAGCCATTTGCTACGATCATTAAAGTTAATTTTTTTTTCTCCATTGGACACCCAGCAGCCCATTTTGACAGAAAAATACAGAATTTCAGACACTTTCAGTTTTTGTCCTTTTATAAATCTGCAAAGATGTCTACAATTCTGTGTTGTTCTGACAAAATGGGCTGCTGTGCGTACATTGATGAGGAAAAAAATTACCTTCAATGATTTCAGCAAATAGCTGCAAATGAACAAAGAGTGAAAAATTTAAAGGGGCTTTGAATACTTTCCATAGCCGGTGAGAGACATTGGTTCTGTGAAGAGACTGAATGAAGATCACATTTGGTCTGGGTTTCTGCTTTGTATCTAACACTTAAATCCAACACTTTAAAAACTCTAATTACTACAAACTATATTCTAATCAAGAGACACAATCCCACATTTTCCTCCACAAGTCCATCAGTTTCTCTCCTAGACTGTATATACTATGGACAACTTGGCTCCACCTTCTGTCATTATACAAATTTGAAGCCTAATTCCTCTCGGCATTTCAGGGATTGTCTCCACTTCCTGAAACCAACATTGCACAGTAGAATAGTACGCATTTGGCAGCGTATCCCTCGGGTGAGCTATGCAATCTTCACGCCCATAGGCTGTATCAAGTGTCAATCATAGAAAACCTGAACCCCCTAATAACTTTTAAAAATGGAGCTGTACAGAAAAAAGTGGACTTGAGCACAAACCTGTCTTATAGTAAATATATGTCAACATCGCAAGCAGGGGGGAGAAAAATTTAGATTCAGTGTAAATAATTTATAAAGTTTGTTGACAGCTCCATTGGGATTGCTGGAGGAGGCGGGATTTGTAACCTATACTGCAGCCTGTCAACAGAGGGTGCTGTTCTCACTGTGGCTTCACCCAACAAGGAGGCAGACGTCATCTATTCTATATACAGTTTTTGGTTTCTCTCCATTTTTAAACTGCCCCCCCCCCCCCCTCTTTTTTACACCCTTTTTTCTGCTTGTATGAAATTGTTGAACATTATGTACAGAAAGTGTAATAAAAATCATATTATCAGAAATTTCTGGAGTTACAGGAGACATGTTTTCCCATTTCTAGAAATACTCCTTGAGCTCTTCTCTTTCTCTAAATGAGCCACTCCGTTTACATTACCTTAACTGATTTCAACTCCAAAGACAACTGATTCCTGAGATTTCTCAATCTGACTATTCAAAGCCTTGCTCCCTCCTTGCTCCTTGCTCGGCTCATCTTGCTCGCTGAAGCGCTACCTGGTTGCTAGGCAGCCCTGCTGAATGACGAAGGGCTCTCATTTGAAAGCTCAATCTGTGTCTCCAGGGACTGGTTCTCATAATTGCTTGGTAAAGGTCAAAATCAGATCCTTAAATTTTCCAATATTTCATCTATCTTGGCATCTAGCAGTTTGTTTGATTATAGGTTTGCGTTTCTACCCTCCGTCTTTTTACCTCCCCTCCTGAACATGTGCTATATATCAGAGCTTGTTGTCTGATCCGGCGCTCATCATTCCTGACACTGTTGTGTTAATGCATGCACACACACGTTGAACACACTTTAACTGCCAATAAAATGTATGCGGGTCCACAGAGGGAGTCTACTGTAACAGCCAACACGATTTCCGAGAGCTGGTAAGCCTCTCAGGAGCACACAAAGCTTTGCACAATAACTTTGAAGATGATGACGGCACATGCAAGAAAATCAGACATTTATATTGGATCAAGGCTGCCTGCACATACATGACAAGTTATTTGCATTAAGAGAAACAACAATAGAGTACAAACACAAATAAATGTACGAAGGAGATCTTTTCTGAGGTTTCTTGTTTAGTGGTTTTCTCTTTTTCACTCCTGTTTAGTTCTAAAGCTGTGTAATAAGTGGTCAGTGTGACAAAGCCATTTGTCCTACAGCTTTCACCACGAGAGCAATAAAGAGACTATATAAACAAGCAGGACAGCAATTATATCAGAGGTGCAACCTCCATAAAACTTTACAAGCAACAAAAGAGAGTAATGGCTTTGACTGGGCCGACTAAATCACCTGTGACATTATAGAGTGTAATCTTTACTGTGATGACTGGAGGGGCGGAGAAGTCAAGAAAACAGAACAGTAACTCTAAATAGAAAGCTTTGTCCATCATCTAGACTCACTCTACACTCCCCTTTTTCTGCAGACTGTCAGTCTTTAGTGTGTCTGTACATTTTGTTTTTGTTTAGAACCTGTATCTGAGAACTTGCGTATACCTCCAGGCAATCAGATAAAAAGTGTTGATGTCAGAGCCCGAACAATGTTTTAGTTCAACTAAACCAATAAAAAAACCCTAAACCACACCTTCCCTGTGCCTTATTTTAAGACAAGATAAGGCATGTTTTAATCCCTTCTTGCTGGTTATCAAAACATGTAAAAATAGCTTGGTACATCATTTCTAAATTTAAAACCCTGTCTAAATAAAATACAGAGCAAATGGAAACCAAGTAATAGTTGCCAAGTAGCGAGCCGCACACTGTGGTCAGTCATGAAGCAGTCTTTCAAGATTAAAAACAAAACCCAATTTGTAAGACTAGCAATCATTATAGTCAGGATGCAAAGGGAAAATGTAGCCTAGGCCGAAATCTCCCCTCACAGTATTATAAACTGCTGTATTACAGTGTTTTGGCATCTCAGTAACCTCCAAACATGAGGATCTACTCCTCACTCACTTCTCATTTGATCCTATTTCAGTGTCTCTAAGGTACCTGAAACAATGCAACCCCTGTTTAAGCCCAGGGGCTGTTCCTTTCCTGAGACCTGCAAAGAATCTGACCAACTCAAACTTGGAATCTGTGTAATAAGACTGACGGTCTGGCATCAATCTATCTTACATAATGTGAGGATGAGACTGAGAATTATGATTTGGCAACACCACACCCTTCTAACTTTGCAAACCAAACGGGAACAAACAAGCACATTCACTCCACTGGAAAAGCACGGCCACTTTATTAGGCACACACTGCTAGTACGAGGTTGGACTCCTCTTTTTGTCCTCAGAACTGCCTTTAAAGGAGATTTCGGCATAAATTTAAGCCCTGGTCAAACTCACCGTAACACCAACTAGGTGTAACACAAGACTCTTGTATGTGTGGTGGGACAAGTGCTGGGACCCAATATGCACTGTTGATGAGGTTAGGTGTTATTCTGAGCATTATTTGCAGCTAAGAGTGGCTTTTTGGTTGAGGTTTGCATGTGGAGACATAAACCGGCGCCGCTGTGTACTGCTATCGTGCGGTTTTTACTTAAGTTGGTGGAACTTGAGAAGTAAGCGGTCAGCAAAATTCATCTTTCGAGGGGGGATCTGACTCAGTGTTACGGTGTTTTTGACCATGGCTTAAACTTATGGTGGAATATCCCTTTAATTCTTTGTGGCCTACTTCCAACAAGATGTTGGAAATATTCCTCTGAGATTTTTGTCCACATATCACGAAAGCATCATGCAGGTGCTGCAAATTTGTTGGCTTTACATCCATGATCCAAATCTCCTGTTTAACCACATCCCAAAGGTGCTCAACTGGAGGCCACTGGAGTACAGAGAACTCATTGTCATGTTCAAGAAAGCAGTTTGAGATGATCTGCAGGTTTTCTTGTACAGTTCAAGCAGAGCAGTATCAGATAAATATGTTGCATGATGGTAAAATATGCCTTGGCTCTAAGTGTCCAAACCAGGGAACAGAAACCCTTGTTGTTGACAAACTGCAAATGCTTCTCATCCAGAACTACAAATCCTCCAAGAACCTTCTCCATTAGATTTTCGCACTTTCAAACCATCACTTGGAAGCGTCTGGCATGTTTGCAACATAGCTGACAATGTTCAGCACTTTGTTTTGGCTTCTGTTTTATTTTGCCACACTAGCGCCATCCCTCAAAACTCGATTTTTGCACAAACTGCAAGTTGCTGGCAGAATTGCTGGGAAGACAAGCGTGAAATAACTCCTAACTGCAGAGCCTCTGTAGTTTGCTTCCACCGATGCTACATAAACGTTCTGCTGAGCAAAATCCAGAAACTTATAAAATGGGCTGATCACAAGTGCATATAAACAAAGAATATCACAGAACTGAAATGAGTAGATCCGCCCCATCAATCAGCCTTTGGTCACATCTTATCAGTTTCGATTCAGTATCTATCCAATATCAGAATCAGATGACTTATTTCAGTAGTGTCTTCGCTTTATCAGTCAATCTTTTGTACATTTTTTTAACTAAACTTCTTTCTGCAACACATAATTTTAGACAACTGCCCGAAGTGGAAGCGTGAGAGTTGTAACATGATTGTTTTGGTACAAACATTCACCCCATATGTGGCAAATGAACCTCTGAACTTTACTTGTCATGGTGAAAATTTGTCAGTATTTGGTGTTTTGGGTAATATTCAGATTCTGCATTTTTCTAACTGTATTTTTTCTAATATTTATATTCACATTTTGAGTAAACTGTTCGAGGAAAAGACTATCTGAGCTGGCCTCTAAGCCTGGATTGCCCTTGCTCACTTTAAACATTGTGTAAAAGTTCATCAAAAAAAATCTATGTGTGAGTTTTTCCCCCTTATCTGTATCAAAAACTCCCCAAACCAAGACTTTCTGTAATGTTAAACCCCTAGTCTTCTTGAGCCTATTTGTTCATGCTGAGCCACACTCTTTCTTCGTGAAAGCAGCCTTTGTCCCTTCTCGATTACTGTCACACATTGAGAACACATTTATTCATTCATTCAAATAAACCCATCACAATGGGTCAAGGTGGGTCGATTGTTTCTCCTGACAACCACCTACTCTCCTATCTTACTGAGAACATCTCTGTCCGCAAGCTTATGGCTAGCCCTCTGTCTGAGACACATTACCAAATTTTAGCATTCAACCGGGTCGTCATTGTCCCTGTGTTACTCAGCCCTGACCCCATGACAGAAACACCTGAATCGATTCTCCTATTTGTCAGCAGAGCATCTTCCACAAACAGAGCATGACACATAGCTGCTGCATCCATACCACCACAGGCACATACCATTCTTGTTGCTATTCAGACTGTGAGATTGGTTCGTCCATCATGCTCCCACACAGCAGACGGAGTGCAAATAATAAAGGTTCTGTGGGACAGAAAATCGATACTTGGAACACTGCATGAAAAAACTCTCTAAAAAGTCCCTTTCGTCTTGTCTGAAGCAAGTAGACAGTAAAGGAAGTAAATAACTTAATGTGAACTGTTAAAACGTCTGCCAAGCTTAAACTTCTTCAATAACTGGACTAACAGAAAAGCATCAGTGTAGTTTTTAGTTTGTTAGTGGAGACTAGAGCAATGAAATGTGGAAAATAATCAGATGACAGGCAACAGGATTCTCGTCATTTCCCTTGAGGAGTCATTACATCTCTTTTGTGCATGTTATGTCCATGTTCAGGAAGTGGAACGTGGCCTGCAGTTTGCAGGCACTAATTGAAACAGCCCACTTTTAAGTGGGAAGACTGGCCTAAAAATAAAGTCTTTGTTTGTACATGGGCTCTGGTTTAGCCTGGACTGCGCTTGCAGCAGAATTTATGTTGTCAAACAGCTCTGACTCTTCAAACGCCACTCTGAACCCTGTCTTTCTAGGCATGTGAGAGCTGCTTTGATGTAGAGAAACCACTCTGCTGGCCTTAATGCGCTCGAGCCGTATTAGACAGCTTCAGAACTTGTCGCCTCAATTATGGCTTGAATTTGCTTAATGGTCCCCAGTGGTAGCAATCACTTAAGGCTCAAATCGAATTCAGTCACTTCTCACTTTTGAATGAATAGAATAAACTTCATGCAAGGGCAACTGACTGAGCAACTGTGTCTGAGAAAATACGTTACCATACATTTAAGGGCTCCAGTTATTCCATTATTTGGAAATGTTCTTCTTTTATCCAGACCGTTTCCTTCAGTCTAGATTGCCTGTGTCACTCTTTATTGTTAATTCATCTTCAGATACGTAAAAGCTGTCTCTTTGCAAATGTGAAAAACACTCACTTAGCTTGCTAATCAGGTTTCCACAGAGCGCCACAAATGCCATGAGGGCTCAGCTGAGTTTACACAGAAACAAATGAGGGAATCAACCTTAGCCAGTGGCAAATCAATGCTCCAACAGAACGGCTGATGTTCCAGCATGATGAAGTGGACCACTAATGAGCACAAAGGTTGCCATTGTCTCCTGGTCCAATTAACTTTAGCCTATTTTTTTTGGAAAGGGCCTGTTAGTGACAGCAAGAATTTTCTCTGGGTCTCTGGGTCATTTCAGTCCAGGACTGTGTAAAAACAAGCAAGCATGGATAGTAACTTACTACCACATAAAATCATGTGTTATTTTTTTGTTTACGATGGCTAGATGTTGTCAAAATATGTATCAGAAGTAATAAGTGCCATTAATTACTCCCCCTTTTCAACAGTGATCCTTTTTTTTTCACCACATATTTACCAACACCAAATAAGGGATCTATATTAGGATGAAAAATTATGTAAATAAATCTGTAAAAGAGGGAAAAAAATGTATTATGTAGAGATAAGCTATACTAACTGTCCTCACTCGAGGTGTCCTGATCAGATATTGATATCAGATATCATTCCGATATCAGCACTCCGATAAAAGCAGTCCATTCCAGACTCTGCTCCAGCACCTCTAGCTAGCAGCACCCAGATCTAGCATGCAGAGCCCATGTGATCACAACACAGTGTGGACTAAAGTACGAACAAAGTAGCAAGGGGGTAGGAGTGATGTTGGCCATGTGGCAGTATTTTTCGTTTAAGTCATGCACAAGTTTGTACCAATATCACATCAATATCAGTATTGGCCGATACTGAAGGCTAAAATATCAGTATTGTATCGGGAGTAAAAAAGTTGTATCCGGACACCCCTAGTCACATCTAATTATAAATCACCAAGCTGCCCATTCTCCCTGTTTAACTTGTCGAAACTTTAAAGGCTAAAGACGTGCCACTCTCATACTGAAGAGGAGTAACTGTCGAGTGTCATCGATTATTTACTGCCTCAGATGAGTCAGATAAATTAGGAGGCCTTATTTAAACAAGTAATAAATACAGTAATCAAATTGTGGTTTAATAATTTCCTCACTAGACAGTAATTAGCGTTTGCTTAAAGCATTTGTTTAAAGCACTGTTGTTTTAAACTGCAAAAATGTCATAATACCTGCTGATAATCAAGGCATCTCAATGACTGATAAATTACCTGTTTGGGACATCAAGCAAAGCATTATAAAGAGCGTAAAGAAACTGCTTGATAAAGTGGTTTTTAAAAGATTCTTTCAACTGGTCATCAAGCTCTTTAGAGGGAGCACTTGCAGTCATGAGGTACTGTGCTCATCCAATAGCTTTAGCTTATGTTAGCTGTGAAGTGATAAGAGTGTCTGCGACCAAATGGCAAGGCTCATATCACCCCCTTCACCTGGTCACTTGTCTCAAAATTTAGGAGTCCTTTTAATCAAACCAAAATGCCGCAACATTTATTTACTAGACAGTACTGCAACATTTTCTTTAAATACATGATTACCAGCTATTGAAGAGAAAAAAAACTGTTATCAAGCAGTGCTAATTATCTCCTCGTTCTCACTTTCCAGATGCTTTGGCAGAAAATCCGTCGCTTGCTTCTTCAAGTGCCATTTTTCAAGGTGATACATCTTCACATGATAAAGTACTGCATTTCTTAACAAACAGGACTTCTCAATCAATCAATCAACCTTCATTAGTGTATGTACAATGAGCGGAGCACTTTGCAGTACTTTGCAGGTCACAGTAGTGAGGAAAACCTTCCTTTGACAGGCAGAAACCTTGAGCAGAACCTGACTTGTTAGTTAGCCATCTGCTGTTGACACGCTGGGATTAAAGAAAGGGACAGGAGGATGCTTCAATGTTTGGGAACACTAACCACAGCTGCATCGACTGGAGAAGGATGACTGTCCCACAACTGCAACGGCATCCAGATTTGACAGAGATTTTTTAACCAAAAGACGGTCAAAGGTACAGAAATATTTTCATTTCTCTTCCTCTTTATGTTTTGCTTTTGTAAAATGCTGCCAAAATTTAGACCTTGACGCATACAGCAAAAAACTGACCACCATAAGTCCTCTTTGTGTGGTTTTTAATACCTGTTAGCTGGAAATTCAACTAAATTAAAAAGCTTTATCAGATAAAAGACTGAACTAGGGCCCGACTAATTTATCGGCGAGCCATTAAATCGGCCAATTTAAGCCTGTCAGAGACTAATCGTAATCGGCCAAAACTCGACAATTTTCTGAAATAAAATGCGGAGAATAAAATCGTTTCGAAAATGTCCCCCCATTTGAAAAGATCCCCGACTTATCTTGTAGATGGCGCAGCGACCTCATGACAGTCTTGTTCCACTAACTACCTCACAGCCGAGCAGAGTGACGGATCTGAAGCAGGCAGCTCAGGGACGCGCAAAGGAGAGTGGTCCGCCTCAACGGTAAATAAACCAGCTTGTAAAATAAACAATAAGTCAACAAGTTTCAGTTCAACCCACTTCACGATGTCCCCCACTGTGCTGGTCTTGGTCACACCAAGTAAATGGTGAAGCACCATGTAATATGCAAGCTAAAGTTAGAGTTAGCCATCTGCTATTAGCCTTGCTACACTGTTAGCCGTGCTAGTAACGGTAGAATAAACAACAGTACACATTACGTGATCCAGCTACTTTTCTTACTGAGGCAGCTGCATGTCTCCAGATGAGACCGGACCGGAAATGAGTAACGCGAGTTAAGACAGGGAGGCACCGATCGGCGGGGGGGTAGTTGAAAAAGTTTTTCTGGTCCCAGTTTGATCAGTCGGTCTTCTGGTCGGCATGAAGAGCAGTAGCCTACAGTATATCTACAGTATATATCTACAGTATATATATATTTATAACTTTATAAAAAATGTAAAATATCGGCCGATTAATCAGTAATGGGATCCCCCCTTATCGGTCGGGCCCTAGACTGAACAACAGTGATTAACTTGACCTGACTGGACTTGGGATATAATGTAACATTGTATTAAGTTAAACATTATCCAATCCCTGCTCCCATAACTGAGACTGGCTATAGTGGACGGTTGTGCAGCATTGCAGGAATGTGTAGAATCTGTAAAATGTGGGTCGGGCTTCAACTCGAATTCCCTGATGTTTTGAGACAGACTATTATTCTCTGTCTTGACAAAGCCAGTCTGGTAGAGCTTCTGTGTCAATGTTGTTACTCAGGTTTACATTTAAGTGCAGGAAGAGGAGTTTGTCACCGACACAAGCGCAAATACAGAGTGTGAAGATTAGCATGGGTCTCATATGCATGTGTGCATGCCGGGGCAGTGCCTAAGTCTTATCAGGGCTGATTTATATTTCGTCTTGACTTTCAATCATTATGCACATCACGGGGGTTTGCTTGTTAGCATATATTTGCATACATTTGCACTAAGTATGCCTCTCATCCTTTAGGAAATATGATTTATGGTTTATTATTTTGAACCATGATGAAGTAAGTTAGGAGGGATACAAAACCTCTACAAGACATTTAAATTGAGTCTGCTTCTATTCATAAAGATACAGTTAAAATAAGGGAAAGTCCACTGCCTGCAGAGGGGTTGTAATAGAGATTGTATTAGAGCGGAGGGCTGACATTTTGGATTGGAACACCATGGGCCAGCTTTCACAGCATGCCAGGATTGAAGGGGTTTAAACCAGGATAATGAGTCACCATGTTAGACTTCACTTAATTACATACTGAACAATAAACAAAGGTATAATGATACCATTTAATGTCACTGTTGTATTTAATTGAGTTTTTAAGTGGAATAAAATGAAAACATTTGACTGTGAGCAGTATCAACATTAAAATTGCAGATTTTATGATGGAATGAACAAACTGCTACAGAAATAGAAATACTATATATCCTAAATAGGGGAAAAGGGTTATCAATAGTGTGGTAAGCTGAGAAAATGTGTTGTTATTGAAGTCAAACCTGGACCCTTTGCACAGGAATGATCACCACAGGATTTGTAAGAGCAAAGGTTAGTAGCCCGGCTGGTGGACTGGCATGAGTCCATTGGGACCAGGAAGGGTCTGAGGGCATGATTACACCAGACATGCAAAGCTCAAGCTAGAACTACGTCAGAACTGCGTCACTGGAATAAGATTGCCATCTTTAGCCTTAAATCACCAGAACAGGAAAAGTCACTTTGTAGACACATTGTTGAACAAAGGACTGCCAAGTCGGAGCAGGGACATCTATTCGGCTGACAACCAAAGCTGCTGCTGCTGAATGTCTGTTTAGGACTTATTTGACACAAACTTCTGGTTTTGGTTATTGTCCTCAGCTCAGCACACCTATTTTAAAAACATGTGTACATCTGAATCAGGTTCGTCGATAAATCACTGAACTAAAATTCAATCTGCAACGGTCACTTAATCATCATCGCTTTCAAAGAAGGTGTACAAATCCTCCAGCTTCAACTTATCGCTAAAAGGATGGAGCGCCTGTAGCAGAAGGATTAGGAAACCTGCAGAGGAATGGCTTTGCAGTGACAGAGAGAGGCTATGGAGAGCTAAAGCTTCTGCTTTGATTGCATATATTTAGCAGCTGAGATATTTCCATTTCTTTCATCATATTCCAAGAGCCGAAGCCCTCCAGTAAAGGGTTATGAGGAGGTCAGTTAACCAGACATACTATTACAGTGTTGAAAATGTGAGACCTGATGTATGAGACCGCTTCTGGGGAGAACTGAAAGGGGACATTGTCCAAATGGCGAGGGGTGAAATGTGAAACCACAAAAAAAAAAGAAATCACACACACACACATACAGCCAAAACAATTACAATGCTCTACTGTGAACATGAATACATAAAGACCTCAAACAACCAACCAGTCTCCACAGTATGGCTTTCTGAACAGCTGACCAGTACCGCCTGGTATTGATTATTCCGCATTTTGGATGACTCTACCAATGATTTATAAGTGGAACATTTACAAGTCAGAATTTAGAAACAGAAACCATATTCAATTTAGTGAATAAGGTCCAATTAGATACAGATTCTCTCCTCGCTCCTAATCCTAATGAAGGAAGATGATTCTGCTGCTGCAGCCAATACTCTGCTTTTGTAGTATTCGGAGGGGGGAGGGGGCCTTGGAGTTTACCTGTAAATTAAAAGCCATGGTTTAAAAATGGAAGGACTGTCCAGATTTTCCTTGAGCAAAAAATAAATACCTCTAAAAGCAAAAGAAATATTTAAGCAAAACGTCAGGGTGTATAAGCAAGTTAAAGAAAATACACTGCCGCATGGTTTGCCCAATTAATGCCTGAAGAACAAGGTTCATCAAAGATAATGAATCACAAATGAAATTCTGCTAGATTCATGTAGACAGCTGGAAATGACTGTCCAGAGACACACAAAAATAATCAAGTGTGCTGTTTGCTACCACTCAACAAAGGGATTGTTATTCTGTCTTTTCTAGACGTGATAAATGAGTAGGACGGCCCACCAACACCATAATACAGCAGAGTGGAAAAGTAACATATGGTCTGAGCTTCTCTCTCTAATCTTGTCCATTGGAAATAACAGAAGCACATCTGGTAATGGGTCATTATTTAAGCCTATGGCTGTCTGAGTGTCACAACCAACAGTAGGAAATTAAATGCGAAGGGAAGAGAGTGCTCCTCATTGGTTGAACAGTACTGCGGGTACACAGCAGTCTCCAGAGACACACTAGAAGCCAGTACACGGAAAGATGGAATCAAATATAGCTAGCCATTATTTCGCAAAGGTTAATTATATTTGTTGCTATTTCAAGAGGAAATTACCAAGAGATTACCAGTTTAAAAGGTCCATGTGGAGAGCTGTGTTTATACCCCATTCACTAAATATCAAACATCTTAAGGCAAAGAAAATCATCAGTTGGCATCTGTATAAAGAAACCAAAAGTGAACTTTTCCCTAATAATTATTGTTATTGGTGAATGTAGTTGACTGTAATGTTAATCAATCACTCGGAGGTTAAAACAAAAAGGGTTGACCATCTGCTCTGGATACTCAGCATGCTGATGGTGAAGAACCTGTGGGATTTCCAGAGGCTGCACTGCTCAGCGCCTTTGCCTGCATCAGTGCCTCTTCATAGATTCTACACTTAACTATCTACATATGGCACAGCTGAACTCTCCAGGGACTATTTCAGCCTCACAGCACATCTCTGTAATCTCGATCCAGCTGGAGGAGTATGCGAGTTCACATTCAAAAGATTTTAAGAAGTACAATGATTATTTCACCATGTATTTTTACAGTGAACATCCTCCATCACTCAAACCTGAACTGTCTCTAATCCCTTGAATAAGACGGTCACATTTTCACTGGCCAGACTGGTAGCAATGATTGTTGTAGGATTAGTGTACCACTGTTAATTGGCGCAGTGAGTTGTGCGTAAATTCTGCATGAGAGCCATCGGAGAGAAGAATTTACAACAAAAGCTGAAACAGTGCAAAGGTTGGCTGGGGTGACAGTATCCTGCAGTCACAACTGCGCTCATAGAAAAAGAAAACTGACTGAAAGGTCATCGTGAGGCTGGATCTGACCCATTTACAAGAGCCTCTTCTGAACACAAAGTAGAGTGCTAATGTATTAACAGGGAAATATCTAATGGTGGCTCACTCTGGGTAAGAGGACGGTGATGCTGCTGAATGAGCAGCCTGCCCAGAAAAAAAAAAAAAAACTGATCAGTAAATAGCTATGCTATCTTCAACAAGTGAATACTGCCCACTCCTCATAAATTTTACTCATTTTCCACAAGGCAAAAACTTTATCACCATGAGCACAATGGATAGAGAAGGAAGCCTTGTTTTATCTTTCCTGCGTCCCCCGCCAATTACATTCCCCATCTGCCCACATAGTGAGGACGACTGACATTTTGAATCCAGATCACAAAGCTATTACAGAAAAACTGTGCAACTGCTGGAATAGGAAGAAGGCTTGATTCATGGAAATGAGGAATCTGCAAGGCTCCATTCTGGGCTCTGACATAATAAGATACAAGGAACATAATAGCCGCCATGTTCTTCTTCTTCCCTCATGTTATTTGCTTCTGTTTGACCCAAACCTGTATCGTGGGTTAGGTTTTGTTGTGTGTTGAAAATGCTTGAAGCACCGCAAACTCTGGTATGTTGATGCACAAGGGTGCACTCAGCAGCAGTGGTGTGGATTTGAGGAAATAATCCACGATTCAGTCGCTGAAGGTTGGAAAACAAGCTCATATTTCAGCCACACAGTGAACAATCCTTTACAAGAAACAGGTCTGACACTTTCCCAGTAGACTACTAAACAGTAAGTTAGAGCTGACAAACGACTGTATATTCTGAGAGCGCTGAACTGCACCTCGGACAAGTCCAGTCCTGACAAACACTACCCTGATCTACCAGGTGTTAAGGAGACTCTCACAGCGAACTTTAAGGTTTTACAGCAGCTATTTCAACACACTTCATTAGCTTGGCAGTCAGAAGGCACCTTTATATAAACTGTGTACTCTGATATACACTCCTTCCATTTATGTATAAACATTACAGCACAGTGCTGAGTGTATCTTCTCTCCTCTTTGTGATAAACACAACCAGAAGAGAAATCATGTCAGGATATGTTTTACCTGGCTGATTCCTGTCTCTTGAATATCCAAACATTGCTGTACCTTGGCACTGCTGCCTTCTCATACTGATTCATCCACTCATACCTATTTTGCAATGAACTCTGCCACCTCCCTTTAAAAAAGTTTAAAAAAAATTTCTATTACATTTTAAAAATTCATGAGAAAAAGGCTGTTGAGATTCTGGGCTTAGCCAAAGTAATTAGAGTGGTTAGTAACTTGTGAATTGTGAATGAAAGCCTCAGATGAGCCCACATCAATATATCGTATTAACTGTTTTCCAAGGATAACAAGCAAAGCTCCTTTCACACCGGGACCGTTTTTGTCGTGCGATTATTTCGGACATCAATATTTTTTTTCGAACCCGTATCCTGTCAATACAAGCGTTCACATCAGTGATGTTTTCCCATTCTGCGATATTGCGGCATTTATTTTTTTGGATCATGGTCGATTTTTCTTAAGTTTCGCATACTGTGTGTCCACTTCTGACCAATCAGATTGTGTGTTGTTGCGACGTCCGATTCACCGGTATATCCAATATGGCTGACCAGCTGATTGTTTACGTGTCGGAGAACAGAGTACTTTTTGATAAAAGACACAAACATTACAAAGTTAACAACCTGAAGGACAACTTGTGGTTTGTGCGCTTTAACAGTTTGCTAAAAGTCTTTGTTTTAACTTTCATCTGTGCTAAGTAACTTTAGCTCGTAAGCTAACCTGTCCAGATACAACATACCATTTGTATTTTCACTGTCTCAAACTCAATCGCGTTGCTGTCACAGCACCATTAGGTCTCGGTTGTTGCCTTACGTTTATGGATTATAGTTTAATGTGCTTATCTGGTTCTGGCCCCGACTCAGTACATGCTATCATGACAGGCAGACATCTCAACACTAGTGTCTAATCAGAACTGAAAAACAGTCAGTCTGCTGTTGTGTCAGTCTTCTCGCTTACACCTGGGATATGTCTTTTTCCCCCCAGGAAAGAAGTAAAATCGCATCAGGCTTGATGTGTTTAGTCAGGCGCGTCAAAATTCGCCTCTGAATATTTCGTAATTTTGCGTTCTATATTTGTGTCGGCCCCGGTGTGTAAGGACCTAAGATGCTGGTTTTCTCTGGATTCTGACTGATGTATATTATCTGGAGATAAAAGTGTCACTTTTATCATCATGTTGAGAAGTTTAAATTTGTTTCCTATTGTCAGGGAATAGCAAAACTTGTAATCACATGATAAAGGTTTATAATATTTCATTCTCTTTACATAATGAAACATCTTTTATCATGACAGCAGGACACATTTCCAGGCAGATGACTGCTACTGGGGTAACTTCAAAGTCTGTTTCTATATTTGCTTTGTGCATTTGCAACTCTGGAGACCCCTGCTAACATTGAGGAAACACCTGAAGTTGATCATTATCATAGAAAAATGTACACCCACTGCCACATGTACACCACAAAAATATGTAGGCTACAGTGTATGGATTCACGTCTCCTCAGGGCTTCCGTACATGTTAAATAATAGCAAAAGCACTTTCTTGTCTTTTAACGAGGTAATCATTATAGTGAGTTACTTTCTAACGTTAACCTTTGGCTGCTGAATAACTTTGGTTACTGGGTGGTATGTAACAGTTCAGACACACTATATATATGAGGCAAAACGACACAAAAAAGGGAATAAATCGCCATTCACGCTTATCGCACCATGCAACTGGTGGGAAGGGAAATGTTTCTTTTTTTTCCCCCTTCAACTGTGAATTTGACAGAACTGTCAACCACGCTAAACAGCTTTTAAAATAACCAACACTTGAGGAGAATTTCACACACAGACTGCCACAATAAAAATAACTTATTAACCTAAAGGTGAAACAACATTACTCACTCGCAGAAACAACCGACAAGCTCCTCGACGGACGCCGTGAGAAGACTTCAATTGAAGCAGGCAGTTAACTCTCCAAGACGTTGAAAGACACAAAAATACAGCTACAACCTTGTTAGGAAACTGGCGGTAGTTCGAGGAAGAGGCGGTAAAAATGTTTTTAAAAGCAGAGAATAAACGTGTAGCTTACTGTGTGAGGTAGACAAGTCTCCAGAGTTTGTTTCAGACCGAAACGTTGGCTGTTATCACTGTCTGTCTGTGTGTGCGTGTGTGTGTGTCAGTGTAGAGAGGAGTGTGGAGGTAACATCGCACAGCAGCTTTCTCAAACCCTGGAGCAGCAGCAAACAATCCGAGGGAGCCGGATATTACCGTAATAACCAGAGCTAAAGGGTGAGTGCACGTTTAATGTCATTACCGTAATACACATAATACTTAGATTCCCAAAGTAGGCTTGTTGGCTTGAAAATTCATTTCTGTCGACCTTTTCAGACCTTAAGAGGCAATCAGAATCCCTTTCTTTTTCTTTTCTTTCTTTCTTTTTTTTAATTTTAATTTTAAAGTTTTGGTTAATATTACAAACTCAACATGGAATTTGTGGGTAGCCTAATAGAAAATCAAACGTGACACAGCTCAGACATGAATGATACGGTGGCCGAGAACCGCCACTACTGCAAATAAAAAAAATGCAGAAGTTACAGAAATGCGGAAGTTACTGATGCAAAAAAAGAAACCGAAGACCGCTGCAAGTAAAAAAAAAAGGAAAAAGTGCAGATAGAAAAGAAAAAAAAACACAACCGAAGATAATGATGCAAAAAAAAAAATAAAAAAAGTTACTTACTGCGAAAATAAAATGATGCACATAAAAAAAGCCACAATAGAAGTGAGCTGCCAGTAAGGATGATGCACTGCTGTTTTACGATCTAGGCACAGAAGACGACGGCGAAAAGATGAGCAAAGAAGTTAGTGAAAAGGTTCTTGTTTAATTTTACTTTGTAAACTTTTCAATGTGTCATTTGGTTAGGCCATGTAGCGCCTGAGTCGATATGAAGTTGATCTGGAGGATGCCAGTGCAGTGTTAGCTTCTGTTCAACTTAATATCGACTCAGGCGCTACATGGCCTAACCACATTGAAAAGCACAGGAAGTGAAATTAAACAATAACCTTTTCACGTACTTCTTTGCTCATCTTCTTGCCGTCGTCTTCTGTACTTAGATCATAAAACATCGGTGCATCATCGTTATTGGTCCCTGGCAGCTCACTTCTATCGTGGCGTCTTTTATTTGCATCCTTTCATTTTTGCAGTAAGTAACTTTTTTTTTATCACCGCCACTTTTTTTTTGCGCTGTTACCGTTCGTTGTGGCTTTTTTTTCTGCGCCGTTTCCTTTTTTTATTTGCAGCGGGCTTTGGTTCCCTTTTTTTGCACCATTAACTTCCGTTGTGACTTCTTTTTTTGCATTCTTTTTTTATTTGCAGCAGTGTGAACTTGGCCACCATAGAATGACAGTGATAAACTTTCTTTAAGTTTTAAACTGGAGATGAAAAATCTACTTTGAGAAAACCAATCTCATGGCAGAGCTTCTGCAGTCAATAACACTGTTAAGCTATGTGAGTACTCAAATTGAAAAACATAAAATGAGACAGCTATAAAATTATACAGCATGCAATAAAAAAAAAGGAAATGCTGACTAAAGCCTTGGTAAAATATGGTATGTGTAACCAATTTCATAAATATCTGTCCTCTGTGATATTTAGATCCTAGTTGCCTCCTTGTGGCAGGAAGCAACATTTTTAGCAGCCAACACTGAACAATGTTATTTTTGCAGATAATGAAGGGGAAGTTGTCCCTCTCCATCAGACGTAAGGACGTTTTTTTCACATCTAGACATAGGAAATATTAGTTCGATAGCAAAAATAATAATAATAATAATAATAATAATAATAATAATAATAAATCAGATTTTATATAGCGCTTTATAAGTGATCCTCAAAGCGTTTAAAATTGGATACATCATTCATTCACTCACTCAGGGGCAGACTAATGGAAATGTGGCTGCCAATCTGCACCAACGGCCTCACCGACCACCACCAAACATCACTTACAATCATACACCAGCGGAAATGCACTCAATTTAAAGGACACACAATGGGGGCAAGGTGGGTTAAGTGTCTTACCCAAGGACGCAACGGATAGATTAGGAATAGGATCGAACCACCAACCTTCCAGTTGTTGGACAACCGCTCTACCTCCAGAGCTGCTGCCACCCCAGTAGTCTAAACCGGAGCAAATTTAGATTAAATTTTCCCTGAAGTAAGAGAAAAAAGCAGAAATGCTATAGTATGAAGATATTCTGAACAAGTTTATCAGGTAAGATAAATAGTACAAGATTCCTAATTATCTTACCCTCTGAAATTAAACGAATTGAAACCCAGCCTACGACAGTATGAACGCACAATATTTTAAAGGGCAAAGACTGAAAAACACAAATGAAAATCCAAATGTAACTGGATTTTTATCTTCTTCTGTGGTCCTTTGAACTTCTCACAAATCCCAGAGGTTTACAATCTCTTGTGACCTTTCTGTAAGAGGCTTGACTACTGAGATGTGAAGCACTGAAAAGGCAGAGATGTTCAGGCTGACTGAATACAGCTTATTAAGTGATGTACTCAAAAACCAACAATGGTATAATTTTAGGCAATAACTGGTACGTAGATCAAATAAACCTTTGTAAAGCCACATTGTACTGATGAATACATTTAATTACCATCACTGCAGCAGGATTAATACTGAGGTACTGTCAATGGTAAGTATATCAGTACCCCACCAGGGGGGTACAGGTCTGCTCAGTCTGGAAGCTAGGCTATCAGCTGCTACAGAAATGGTCAGCTCCACCACAGTATTTACATTTTACAAACCTCAACCCCAGCACTATTCTCAGTGAAAGTGAACGCTCCACTTTAATTTTAATAAACACTTTTCATCAGAAGGTCCATGTCTCTGTTCTTGGGCACAGCAAATTTGTGTTTGTCCCCCTGCAACACACTGATCCAAACAGCGCATACGCTTACAGAAAAAACTGTGTTCTGGTTAGGATTTGTTAAGATTAGCTAAAATAGGTGTTAAAGCTGGTCCCAGGAGTGTCTGAAAGCCTATCTCATGTTCCAGTTCTGTTCCAACATTGCTGAGGTGACTGAAATCTCACATTGCTAATTCAAAACCACTGACAAATACCTCAAATAACCCCTTTTTTAAAAACACTCGTCTATCCCTTTGATGCACAAATCAAGTTTTACATCTAGTGCTGGTAAATGCTGCCCCAGAAAAGAGACTTGGAAAAAGCAAACTTAAAAAGCATACTTAATTTATCTTCAGACTGGGGATTGTTTACTTGGTTATTGACGTTATAAACAAAATCAGCACAGGAGCTTGAGATTGATCATTTGAGTTGTATGACAGCTCAAAACCGGCTGAGAAACAAGCAGGCTTCAGTTAATAACTAACTTGCTTTAAGATCTTAGATTAGGCCTTGTTCCTCATTACTTCTTTTTTTCTGTCTCTTCCTCTTTAGAAAACAGACAAACATTTAGTAAAATAAGCTACTTCTGCTTCTGAATAGTGACCCAATACCATCTTACCAGATCTGTCTTAATATTGTTGAACAATAAAAGTCTAACGGCCACCCATTTTGCCATTTTGTCCCCAGAGCCTGAGCTGGAAAAGGGCAGGGTTATTTGTCTTTAATTGCCTTTGTAACAAGATTGAGGATACTCATGCAGCCGCTAATAAAACAACCTCCTCAGCTCTGAACAGAGGTGCAGAATTATTGTTGGAGGAAGGTCCTCTGAGGATTTGCTGGCAGAGGCAGAATGAAAGGTGTGGGAGGAAAAGGGTGCGCAGAGGTTGGCAGCAGGATGAAATAGTGTGAATTAAATACAGCAGCTTTATAGTAATGTAGTAAAGTAACAACACACAAGCTACTGTACATCCAAAGAAGTAAACCCAATTCTCTTTTATTTTCTCTGATGTATTTTGAAGATATAACCAAGCAAAAATAAGTCACATTTTCAGATACAGATTTACTTTGATAAGACCCGCATGATTCACCACCTACCCCACTACCAAAACAAATAAAAGAAACCAAACCATAACTAAACTTATCAAAACAAAAAGGAGGAAGTTACATTACAACCTTACACACAACTTTTACTCACCAAGCAAAGGTTTAACCCAGATGATTGTCATGTTTCAGTGGCGTCTTTGCCCACCTGCATGATAATGACATCCACCCTTCAGCGGTTTATTAAGATATAGGCCCTAAAGGGAAACATGTGTGACATGTGAGAGGGGCTGATAATGATGGTGGGGGGATGTCACAGAGGAAATGCAGGCAGATGCAATTTGGTGAAGGGGTGAAAGGAGCAAAGATGTGTGGGCACACAGGGGGAAAAAACATTCATAGACTGAACCTTCATCTACTCAAGGTGTTCCAGTGAATGTCATCCCATCTCTTTTACCTCGGGTACTTTGGGTGAAAAGGTGAGACCAGAAAAACAACATTTAAAATGTATAAAATAGGTTTTATAAAATAAGTAATAGAGGGGAGAACTTTAGGTCAAACTAGAACTTGAAAATAGAAGATAAGAAACAGCTTCATGAAATCCTAACACAGTTTGGGATTAAAAAATACACTCCTGTATGACTTGTGTCAAGAAACTTATCAAGAACATTTTGTTCGCTGCATTGAAAACCATCTTTACTTATTACTATCAATTCAGCCAAATTTAAAGCTCCTGTAAGTAAATTTAGTTCTTTGTTGATTTGTCACCCCCTGTGGACAAAGAGACACCTCTTCTGTCTTCGCTGGTTTTGCACTTTTCAGATGTAAGTGGTGTTTTCAAACAAAAGATATAACCCAGCTTCATTTTAACACTCACTAGTAATCTATTATAGTATTGGTGCAAATCGAAACCGTTTGTTCGACTCCTACCCCTCATCAGTGGTTTCAAGCAGCAAAAATAATCATGTGGAAATATTCAGTCTTGTCACCATTAATCTTGTTTACCTTTGTAGGTTTTAAAAAGGCGTAAGTTTTCATTTCAGTTTGTTTTGTAACCAGATAAAAACTCCTCACTGTAGCTTTAAGCTTGTAAAATATTGATTTCAAGATCTTGTCAAGACTTGTCAAGACAGAGTGGCTTTCATTGGGTGTAATGGGATATTTTGACGAGTAATGTAGATTTAAAATGTGAGATTTGAGTCTTTGCAGTGTGGGGTTTACTTCATCAGAGCAGAGACAAAGATCTGAAAGACTTCCGGCCAATCAATGTGTCATATTTTGAAAACTCCCCCATGAAAGTCTGTGGATTATGTAAAACATTGATTTCAGTGACACAGTGGAGGAAACTAAAGGAGGTTTAGACAATATTCACACTAATTTTGTTTATTATAGTAGCATTTTCATTGCCATTTTTAGCCATTACAAGTACAAAAGCATGCACAGGACACAATCTGAGCAATGACAGAGATAATATGGACTCCAAGAAAGGGGTGGGTATGTGGGAGGCATCTGTGCTTTGTCTTCACCCACACTCGAACCTGTCAAACAAACAACACTCTTCTTCCACCCCCAACCTGCAGACACATAACACATTTGGGCATCACAGAAGTCAATTTCTTGCCTATTGCTTGGTCTCTTTTCAAGTGAGATTGTTTGTGCCGAGGTGTTCAATTTATTGAGAATGAAGAGAGGAAGCTGTTAAAAATGGTTTCCGCTCATACAGTAGGTTTCTTATATAAAATGGCAAGTACAATAATGCTGGGCGATGCCAAAAAATGTCAGGTTTATAGTTCTTTCAATCACTCAACTAGCCCTTGACAAAGATGATTCCAAAACTGTTCACTTTTTGTATTTTATTTGTCACTGCGAGAATAAAAAAGAAACAAAATATGTTTTTGAAGACAGAAATTCCTCTAATAAAAAGAGGATTCTTTGTCAAGGCCACTCAACCCATTCAGAAAAAGGCTGGAAATGACTCATACAGTATGGCTGTTTTTCTCTCTGTTTTCTAAAACATTAAAAAGAATTCAAATTTAAGGTACTTGAAGATAAGTCACGCATACTTCTTACAGGTACTAGTACCCATTACAGTAATCCCACCCCTTCACTTAATCCTGTTAAACAGCCTTCCAAGCACTAGTCCTTAAATTCTCCTGCTGCTCTTATCT